GAGAAAAATAGAGTCTAACAAACTCAATTTCCTACGCTGACAGATGCTGGACTTCAGGGACGGGTCATGATCTTGTGAGGCCCCTGGGCACAAGAGTTCTCAGAGGCCCCTTTGACTCAACTATAAGGTGTAAAAAATGAAATAACACTAGAAATGAGTTATTTTCTTATTTTGAAATTAAATGTGCTACATCCTATTGGGTTTACATTGTAACAGTTTTAGTTAGCAATATTAGTTAGCAGTTTTCCTGCTGGAAAAGGCAGCAATTAGGTAACCTTTAACCTCCTAGTTTCGTTATTTTTAAGTTGGTTTTTACTTTTACATTAACCTTTATTTCACTGAAACAGCAGTACTTCTGTTAGTATGGGTTTAGACCACTCTCTGGGAGAATGTAGGCCTGCATCCTAATATAACCATCTGGGAAGACGTAATAGCCGATAGAAAAAAGTCTTCCTTTTTCAAAAACAGACCCAAATGTGTTTAAACTAATATCAAGCAAATTTAGCCAGTTTTCTCAAGTACAAGCACAGATATGATATATGACACATTGTTAGTAGATCAAATAATGTTTGTCAAACAGTGCATTCCTTCTCTCAGCACATAACTAATTGCACAGTGATTTTTTGGCAGATCCAGATGTAAGTGCAGAACTTTTGATGGCTGGAGTTGTGACTGCTTTTAAAGCAGATGGGGTATCTTTCCTATCCTGTGAAGAAATACACTTTCCAAACGCTACTTATTTTTCCACACATTATAATGTTTTGACATACTTATAGTGTTTTTAAACACATAGATACGGTTGTACGCAAAGTTTGAAAAGTTTGTTTATTTTCTGAGTGAAAATAAATGATTTCCTCTGCAGGGTGAAAAACTTATTTTAAGTAAATAAATTTTAGTGCACAGTTTCTATTGCTTGTCGAGTTTAACATAATAGAAAAAATGAAACATAAAATGTGGTAGTACTTTTTCACAGTTTATTTATTTTCTTTTTGCACAGCACATTTTCTTTTTTTCCCCCCAAAAAATAAACAGTAATTGTGCATTAAAATGTGCAGAAGCATATTCTCTTTAGAGGATGTGTTCACTTACTTTCACTTAGAAAATCAACAAAACATGGAATTTGACCAGAGGTGCCCAAACTTTCACATACGACTGTATTCATAAATAAATGTATTTGAATACTGGACAGCATCTATGCTCTGAAATTAGGGAAAAGGGCGCAGGTATTGCGTGGAATTTCACACACGTGTTACAGAGTATTAATCACAGCTATATGTGTTGACTCTTATTTGCACTAACTCTGTATGTGCATACATTGACACACTGTGCCAGTGTCTCTGTGTTTGCTCACAGGGTGGCGAACTGTGAAGGAAAGACAAGGAGATGATTTGTTTTGAAATAAATGACATAATCACTCGAGTAGTTGCCTTTCCTTCTGCTTATTTACTGAATTCTATGACTTATTCATGTATAATATTAGGTTTATAATGTCCCTGTTCACATGGTGGCATTCACTCTCACTGATTCCTCTATTGAAGCCCATTCATTTCTGAACTAGAATTTTAGTGACAGCTTGGTATATGAACTTGAAGTGTTTACTCAGTTCATGCAGAACTTACTGTAAGCATCTGCTACCCTTGTGGATGTACTTGTTGATGTTACCTTGTTTCTTGTTTTCTTTCACCTTGTAGTTTGGTTTTGTTTTTGTCACGGACTTGTCATTTCTTCAAACCTCTGTTACTCCGGACTCTAATTTCAATAAAAGCAACTCGCATTTGCATCCCGCCTCCTTGCCTCCACCGTTACAATCCCTATTAGTGGTGGACAATGTACACAAATCCAGTACTTCAGTGAAAGTGGATACTTTTCAATGTACTAAACGTTTTATAAGACATTCAAAAATAAATCCAGCGTTTCCGTTTAGGAAATGAATAAAACTTCACTCCCCATCCAAACTCCTGAGATACCAGCTACCTGATTTATATACCACAGCACAACATTACAGCATTTCCTTTCATTCTGATAGCTTGTAAGAGGTGCTGGGGCCTTGTTAGAGTTGCTAAGCTGTGATTGGATGCGTGATACTTAGGAGAGGGATTTGGTGAAAGGTGGGCTATGATTGGTTTGAAGTGCATCACGTTCTTTCCGATATTATAGGAATCTATGTTGAATCTTAGAGGTGGGTACTAACTAGTTATATTCACTCAAGAACATGGAAGTCAAACATTGATGGATTTGTAGTCTCCCGAGTATTTTCAAGTCATAATACATTTCTATTTATACGTTTTAGTTATTCATACTTAGTTTCTCGCCTCACAGCCTGGGTTCGATTCCCCAGCCAGGCGACCAGATTCCTCTCTGTGTGGAGTTTGTATGTTCTCCCCAGGTCTGTGTGGATTTCCTCTGGTTTCCTCCCACAGTCCAAAGACATGCAGTCAGGCTAATTGGACACACTAAATTGTCTGCCCTATGATGGACCGGTGACCTTTCCTGACTTTGGCCCAATGAACGCTGGGACAGGCTCCAGCTCCCCCCATGACCCAGAAGCATAAGTGGCTTAGAAGATTGATGGACAGACGGACATTTAGTTTCTTTAGTTCCTAGTTAGTTATTTTTAGAGGTGGGTAATCCAGGTCCAAAAAGTAAAAACCCTCCCCAGGATTTTGTTCCAACTGCCTGAACACCTTTGCTGCTGGTTTGAGCAAATTAGAGAAGGCAAGCAGTTGGAACAAAATCCTGGGGAGGGTTTTTACTTTTTGGACCTGAATTACCCACCTTTAGTTTTGTGTGTTCACTTTTGTTTTATTGGTGACAGCATCTGTACTGCTTTGTGATGGTCACAGCGGTGACCGTGGAGCTTTAGCATTTTATTTTAGATTAAAAATAATCCCAAAAAGAGAAAAATAGAGCCATATAGTCTTGAGATCCTGTGCTGACAAATGCTGGATTTACTAAAAAGTTCCACTGCAGTTCTTTAACTTTTTCAGTGCTTAAGTAGTTTTTCGACTCAATACTTTAAAACTTCTACTCAAGTTGTTTTTTGGGGAGGTACTTTTACTTGAGTCATAATTTTACCCAAGTATTAATATTTTTACCTGGGTGGCTCCCTGTACTTCCTATAGAGGGTACACACTTAAAAATAATGGTTCTTCAAGGGTTTTTTAGTAAAGAAAATGGTTCTATATAGAGCCCTTTGCATGATTAAAGGGTTCTTTGCATCGTGAAAGTGTTCTTCAGATTGAAGAATGTGTTGATGGTTCTATATAGAACCTTTTTGAAAGGGGTTCTATAGAGCACCAAAAAGCCTGACATCGTAACAATAGAAGAACCCTTTTCAAAAAGGTTCTATATAGAACCATTGACGGCACATTCTCCTTCAGTCTGAAGAGCCCTTTAATCATGCAAAGGGTTCTTTAAATGTTCATGGTTGCATATACAACCATTTTCTTTACTAAAGAACCCTTGAAGAACCATCATTTTTAAATGTTTAGTTTGGACGGTAACTACACTTTAAAATGATGTTTTTAAGGGTTCTTCAGTAAAGGGAATTTTTCTATTCAGAACCATGAGTTCTATTTAGAACCATTTCATGCTTTAATGGTTCTTTGCATGGTAAAAAGTTTCTTCAGATTGATGGAGAAAGTGTCCCATTTTTGAAAATGTGTTCTTTTTGAAAATGGTTCTATAGAGCACCAAAAAGTGTTCTGCTATTGTTACAATGTCAAGTTTGTATACATAGAAGAACCCTTTTTGGTGCTCTATAGATCCATTTTCAAAAAGGTTCTAGATACAACCATATACAACACATTCTCCATCAATCTGAAGAACCTTTTCACCATGCAAGGACCATTTAAGCATGCAAATGGTTCTATATGGAACCACTGCCTTTACCAAAGAACCTTCGAAGAGCCCTCGTTTTTAAGTGTGCACTATGCAGGGAGGAGGGAGCACATTTGAGACTCAGTCCTAGCTTTTACTCCACAGTCCCTTGCAGAAAGTAGTGGAGTAAGAAGTATAGAAGACGTTCCACTGTGTAATGTAGCGGAGTGAGTAAAGGTCTCATAAAATGGAAATATTAGAGATTTTTAAAGTACACATACTTAAAAAGTAATGAAGTACACGTACTTACTCCACCGCTGTTACACGGCATTCATACTGTGACTATTAGACTGATCAACTACAGCCAGAGTGAAACTCCTCCTTTGCTCTTCTCTGCTCTGCTAAGAGGCTGTTTTCTACGACGGCGTTTTAGGGCCACTGTTAATACAAATAAAAACAGTAGACTTCGAGAATAAAGTCGGACTATTTCGAGAAAAAAGTAGTAATATTTCGAGAAAAAAGTCGGGCTATTTCGAGAAAAAAGTCGTAGAATCACGACATTAAAGTGGCATTAGTACCAAGAAAGGTCGCAATATTGTGGCCATAGGCTTTGCAAAAGGAAAGCAGCGCCTCCTCGTGTTAAACGAGGGGCGGTGAGTTGGTGTTGGAGTTTTACTGTTATATGGATTTCACCCATAAAGAAAGGGGGCTACATCTCCGCGCCATTTAAAGAGGGCATGGAGTTTCACAAACAGTGAGAATGATCATTAAAACGATCGATCCACAAAGAGACAAGAGTGAGTGGAACTCCGGCGCACCAGTACAGCAGCCCCCCTACAGTTAGCCCACTTTATCCTCCAAATATTACGACTTTTTTCCCGAAATATTACTTTTTTTCTGTAAATATTACGACTTTCTTCTCGAAATATTACGACTTTCTTCTCGAAGTCTATTGTTGTTATTTTTGTTAACAGTGGCCCTAAAACGCCGTCCTATTTTCCAGCTCAGCTTGACGTCGGAAAGTCTCCGAATTTCCTCATTTGCATTTCATTTCTCACTAACAATCCTGTTGCTGGATGCGATGCCTGTAAGGGGCCGGCAGAGGGCGCGCGTTCCCGCTTCGAGTCCAGGTCTCCTAGCAACGGAGTGTTTACAGCTGCAGGTTGTGGACGGAGGCTGCGCGGCAGCAGAGCAGTAATAAAACTCAATAACATAATAAAGCTCTGCTTTCTGCGACCCGGAGCGATGAACCGCGTCGAGCTGCTGTCAGATCGCATCGCAGCCGCTCATCTGGACCGGAGACGAAACCGGGAGCTGCAGCGGCAAGAGCGGATTTTCAACGCCAATGTGCGAACAATCGGAGTAAGTTAGAGTCAGTGATGACTCGGTACCTTCACTACTGAGGCAGCAGTTCTATTAAAGCTTTCACTGGACCCTTCATAGAAACTGTACTCTATAGAAGCCCATTCCCACAACCACACATAGAAAAACCAGCACCTCATTTTTGTTTTTTATTCTTAAGTCAGTTACTATCTCTTTATTTTGTTCTGATCTCATTATTTTTAAGACAAAAAGTCGTTATATGGAGATGCTAAGTCATTATTTTCAGAAATATTCTCATTATTTTGAGAAACTTTATTGTTATTTGAAGATGCTTTATGCTTCAGAGATGAAAATGTAAACAAATATAAATATATATTTAAGTACACATAATGATGTAGTCTCTGAAAATAATGAAAAAGTTTCCAAAAATAATATGAAAGTATCTCAAATTAAGAATGTTTCTCAAAATAATGAGAAAGAATCTCTGAACAGTGACTTTGTGTTTCAAACTAATGACTGGGTATCTCAAAATAATTAGAAAAGTATTTCAGCATAATGACTTAGTATGTCAAATTAATGAGATAGTATGTCAGAATAATGACTTAGTATTGCAAAATGATGGCATGGCGTCTCATGTAAGAATGAAAAAAAAGGTTGTGGATGTATATGTTTTTTTTAATATTCATATTTATATTCGTTATATCCTGGAGATTTTTTTATTTGAAGTGGTGGGAATGGGCTTCCATACAGTATCATGACTCACAGAAAGATCCAACTTCTTACCATCATACTTCACCAGTTAGCTTTCATCAACACTACACACTATAAAAGTCAGCACTAAGCATGTATTCATCATTTTGTCATTTGTTTATTCACTGAAATTCATTTTTGGGGAAGGTCGACAGTCATTTTCTGTGCTGGGGCCAATAAGATCTTGCCACTGTTAAGGCTTATGGCTTAACACGGTATATTCCATAGGAAACACACTCATGACAAAGTCTATGCTTTGTTGGACTAGATTGACACGGATGCTCTTGACCATCAAGTGGAGGAAAAGAGGAATAAAGAAGAAGCTGAGGCGAGAGCCCTGAAGGAATACAGTGAGTTAAAACTGGGCAAATGCACACTACTGCCTACCTTTTTACCATGTTACTGCCTGTTTCACAGAGTAACAAATAGAGTTGGTAGATACACTCAGTTACATATACTTTAGTACTGATGGGTGCATTTGATATTTCTGAGTTCTGTAGTTTTACATGATAAATCTAGTTCAGGTATTTTTATGAGGAATGTCATCTACTTATTCCTTAATTCAATTTCAATTCTTCACATTAAGCCCCTAATTCCATTTTTGGGAGGGGGGTCATTTCATTCTGTTCTTTTGGTTTAACCCCTGGACTGCTTCGCTTACACATCGCACACCTCAAAACATTTTATTTTAGACCAAAAGGATCCTTAAAAGAGGAGAATAGGCATCAACTTTACTTCCTGACTTCCTTAGTTACGAGCTATTTAATTCTACTCGCTCTGAACTTCAGTTAAATGTTTTAATTACGACACTACATTAAAATGTGTTTGAATTCAATTAATCAATCAATCAATTAATTTTTATTTAAACTCACTGAGGGAGACCCTCATTTATAAAGTAGCTGAGACAATACAGAAAACAAGGATTGGAAAATTGAATTGTAAAACATATCAAGTGCTAAAAAAAGTAATAATAATAATCATAATAGTAAATTTAATAGTAAAAAAATCAATAAACTATTAAAATTGCAACAATATAACAGTACATAACAGATTAAATAGGGATAAAATAATTAAAAAAGAACACACATTTTCTGAAACTGCTTGTCTTTCTGGGAACCGGGGGGGTGGGGTTGGAGCCTATCTCAGCGGTCATTGGGCGGAAGCCTATTAAAAAACATAGTTGATAAAATAAATAAAGGAATAGAAGATGTAAAACAGTAACTTAGCACTAGCTAAGAAGTAAAAGTTGAGAATAAAATAAATAAAAAACAAAAAAGTGAAAAAAATAGCTAAAACATCAAAATCATATTAAAAGTTAACTAAAATCAAATAAAACATTTGCAGGCTGAGTGGAGGTGGTTAGAGACTAAAAGTTTAAAATGTTCATGTGACACCAGCGAGCGAAGCTTCCTGTAATCAGGGGTTCTTTGAAGGTCTTTGAAGTTTTTCTATTGAAATATAATTGTGTAAGAGTACAAGTATTCACTTTCAAGAATACTCAAAATAAAGTGCAAATATTCCAATTTATATTTAGATTTAGTAACAGAGTATTTTCTACCTCCTGTATCTGGAATTAAGGGCCTGGTAATAAGCCCTTAAGTCCATATGATAATAATAAATCAGTACTGATAGAGCAAAAAAATAAAAACATTGGATCCCCATGATCCAAGCTCTCGGTCTTATCCTTCTGTCCGTTGTCCCAGCTGATGGCCTCATCTGCAGTGACCGTACAGCATGCCTACTGGAGCACAGGCAGAAGAAAGACAAGCGTCTTCTTGAGGAGGCCATCGTGGGCTTCCGCCAACAGTTCCAGCAGCCCAGCAGCAGGCGTGAGTTTGACCTGAATGACCCTGAGCTCTTGAAGAAGCAGGATGGTGTGCGCATTCTTCCTGGTCTGCCCGGGGAGGATCTGCACAGCAGAGAGAGAACACGGCGCCAGAGAGAGCAGCTCAGGGACTGGTCCATACAGCAGCAGCTGGAGCTGGAGCACGCAAAAGAGCTGCAGACACTGGAAGGTAGTTTACCAGCTTAAAAGCCCATTTTGAGGCACCATTATCAAAAGTTCCAAACTTTTCCCTGCCATGATTTTTAATGGATGTGTCTTACTGACGATTGATCTCGTAAGGATCAATAGCGCTTCCTGTCCAAAATGAAACAAACCTCTTAAATAAGCTGATAATATGTTCTCTTAAATAGATCAGCAGTATGACCAAAGCCAACTTGCTCTGGACAGCAGAGCCCTTGAGCTACAGAAGATGGAGGAAGAGCACAAGAGAGCCACCGCTATCGCCATCAAGGACTTTAATCAAGCCCTGGTGAGTCCTTGGGTGTAACTCTCCTTGAGGAGGCTACTGGTCCATGGATGTTAACCTGCAGCCCTGGACTGTTGCTGTCCACCTGCTCTAACAGGTCCTCATGAACAAGCTACAGTATATGTCCAAACACCCCTTCTATTGAGTGAATTCAGCTACTAGGTTGCTGACATGGACATTCAATTGTGCACTAACACAGCTTGTATAACCCTCATAGAAAAGCACCAATAAAATTGGACGCTTTGGAGCTGGAGCACCACTAATGCCTGAATGCAATCAGATCCACACAGCAGTGTTGTAGCATCTAGCGTAAAGCCTTTCGAGAAGAGTAGAGAGTGTTGCGGCAGCAAAGAGGGACAAACTCCCTGTTAACAGCCTTGAAGAAGGAGGATGAGCAGGTGTCTACAAACTTTTGGCCACATAGTTTATAAAGTGCTTTATATGGTGTGCAGAGAAAACACTAATCTCTGGGGGGCGCTGTTCATGAAAATCAAGTGTATCTTATAATGACTGGGATACCATCATGCAGTGCACTGTTCCAAACAATTTTGTCATTAAAAGTGTATTTAAAAAGTGCATCATTTTTCTTTAATCGTTAAATGTTTAAAAATAGTATTTTTTGAACTAGTCTGTGGATTTTGAAGCTATCTTTTCAAAATTGGAAATAATCTGTGGCCTCTCTAGGATACTCCCTGGCTCTCCATTATTTTGTCTTTCACATAATTTGAAAATGCCAGCCGAACTCGACATTGTACAAAATTACTTACGTAATTCTTTGCATACTGACTTCTGTTAAATGAAGAATGTCCTATGTTCTGCCAACATTGAAATTCAATTAATCCTCCACTGCCAACAGGCTGCCGAAGTGATAAAACGGCAGGAGAATGAGCGTCGCAAGGAAGAGGAGAACAACCAGGCAGATGTCCTGAACCAGATGCAAGGGGAGCTGCTGAGCGAGAGCCCTCAGCGAGTACCAGGACTGACCCGAGTGCGCAGGGACTGCTATAAGGGCTTGACCCCCCAGCAGCTAATGCACTACACCAACTACCAGCAGCAGCAAGCCGAGGAAAAGAGGGTAAGGTCCACTACCGCTGTTTTTAGATTAGACTAAATTAGATTAAATTAGATTGAGGGACCCTCAATCTAAGGGTCACATGCAATATAAAATATGAATTCTTCTGCAAAGCACACAGCTAGGGCTGGGCGATAAAACGATAACGATAAGTATCGCGATATAACTTTTTTCTCGATTGAGCGATAAGAAAGGTTCGACAAATGTTCGATATAATACACCATTCTCACACTTCCACGTTCAGCGAAAGCCCTGGTGGCGCTTTCTACTGCAAGGAAAGCGACACTACTCAGCTGTCGCCAGGAGAGGGCGCACTTCCAAATTTTTCGACTTGATTAGAGAGGGAGGGGGCCACGAGTAAAAAAAGGGTCGCCAAATATACTTTAGCAACGCGGAGTTATACATTCCCTGTCTGAGTGGATGTTATTGGCGATCTGTTCTCCTGTGACCGAGTGTGAGTGACGAGGTCACTTTCCATGCTTTCCATGCATCCTAACAACTTTAGCGGTGTTAAATCACGTCTGCAGCGCCGTGTTACAGCGCCAAACCGTCATATTTTAGTATTAGTGCATTCTCGAGCAACGAAAGTGAAAGAAAGAAGTGGGTTCATGTTCGAAAGTAAACTGAGGAAGCTGTGAGGCATTGGAGAGCGGGAGAGCGCTATCTTTCCAGGCTAGCTGTTTTTAGCTGCTGGCTAACTTGAAGCAGTGCTCCGGCAAAACACGGTGAATTGATGATACGGTAGATCAAACCACACACAAAATCACCGCTTTCAGTTTAAACATACCTAAAAGGAGGACTCTGTTTGTCTGGTGTGAGAGATTCACACTGCAGATAATGCTTTTACACAGCAAACGTCAGATATACTGCGGTTCACCCCTTAAACTCCCACGGTAGCATAGAGAAACCCAGGCGTCGCTAGCTGGTGTCTGAATACCGTGATATGCTCCGACATGGATGTGGTAGGAGTGACAGCAGTGACCTACCGAACCGAGTTGACGTTGTTGAGAAACTAAAGAGTTTAGCTCTGTTGTTGGCCACTTGTTTAGCATTTGTAACGGGGTAGCCGAGCGCTCGTCACCACACAGCTAAAAATAATCTGTTTCTGTTCTACAGAGAACACACTTCTGCACATTTCAATGCACAATTACTGTTTATTTGCTGCAGTTAATATAATGGGGGAATAAACAAAGCATAAAATGTGGCGTCTGCAAAGGTTGTGGCACATTTAATATATTATCCATTATTGTTTTCCCAATATGTTAAACTCGGCAAATAAATAGAAAATTGAGCAAGTCTGTTCTCTCTAGATGATGTGTTAACTTATTTTCACTCACAAAAGCAATAAAACGTCATTTGACAGGAGGTTTTCAAACTTCTGATGCAACTGTTGGCCTTATTGCTGGGAGGCTGTGAGTTCAATATTCAGTCAAGAGTCCACTCTCTCTGAGTATGTGGGATTGTCCTCCTTTCTAACTGGAAGAATTGCCAGTTAGTGTTCTCCTCCATGCGTGTTGAGCTGTAATAATGCTGCATTAGCCACAGTTTGAAAGATTCAGTGGTGCTTCACGTGTCTCAGAAGAAGCACATGCTAAGCTTGACCCTTCCAGCTCGGTAGCGTGGTGTGATCAGGAGAAACACTGGACATGACTAAATTGGAGAGAAAAATAAGGAAAAATCAAAATAAGTAAATAAGGGTTAAGGATTGTGACCGCATGTTTTATGTTTGTGGCAGCGCGCTCGTGTGCAGCAGCGGGAGGAGGAGCTGCAGCAAGATCGTGAACGTCTGGCCTTGGCTCGGGCCGCTCTGCTACAGGAGAGACGGCAGGCACGCATCAGCAAGGAGCTGCGCAGAGCTCTGGACAACACCAACACACAGCTGGCCCAAATTCAAAAAGCACAGTGAGTTATGCACACAAACACATTAACACTGTGTTGCTGGCCAAAGCTGTGGACACCACCAACACACAGCTGAGCCAGGATTATATACACTTTATACACTAGAGCACAACCCATGTGAACATTTTGTGGCTGACACAGATACCAGTATAAAGGGGCTATAATTCCTAAACAGAACTTTTTCTATAAAAAGGTGAGGTGGTATGAAAACAATGTGTAAGTATGTGTACATATTATTCACTCAACATTTTAAAGTTACTGTTTTTATGACGTCACAGAAACCAACAAATGCTCATCTGCATTCATAGTGAAGTTATAAAGAGTGTTTCTGCCTTGACTGCTTACTGAATGAGGCGCGATACAAAGCACCCAATCAGAACAGAGCTCATTTACATATATCAGTTTTAAAGGCACACTAACAAAAGACCTGTTTAATTCAAAGAGATAAAGAGAGGTTGGAGAATTGTCATGCAAAAATTAATTATGGCTGTTTTTGATGTCATAAGTGGACCTCAGGGGCAAAAAAAAAGTTTGCATATAACAAAAATCAATTGTTCTGTTTATTACCTATTGTTTTTCTTATTTACATTAGTTGTCTTCACAATACTGTTTTGTGGTATAGTGTGCAGTACTCATTCTACAGCTTAGGTTTGAATATATTTTAAGTTTTTCTTATTTTAACCACATAATGTTCAGATTTACCAGTTCAGTTTGCGTTGCTGTCATTCAGCTAAACAGAGTGACTTTATTGTGTTTCAGAGTGCCATGACTGTTCAAAGTTTCACCCTATTAATGGGAGCTTAGAAGTTAATAATTATCAGCAATATTTACGCTGATACTGAAAAAAACACAGGTTGACAATATTGGCTGTTATTATAGGCCAACTGATATATTGCTCAAGTTCTAATATATACGTACAGATATACCATCTATTCCTTATTTAGATATTGTACCATAACACTGTGCACATAAAAACAGTAACCCACAGCGTTAAGAACTGAGTTACAAGTAGTTCATATTATATGGCCAAAGGTATGTGGACAGTCCTCCTGATTGAGTTCAGGTGTTTCAGCCACACCCATTGCTAACAGGTGTATAAAATCAAGCTCTTACCCATTTGTATCAGAACAGGTCGTACTGAAGAGCTCATGACTTTAAACATGGAGGCCACAAATCACGCCATGAAATTTCTGCCCTGCTAGATCTGCCCCGGTCAACTGTAAGAGCTATTACTGTGAAAAGGAAGCTTCTAAGAGCAACAACAGCTCAGCCACGAAGCGGTAGACCAAGCAAACTCGCAGAGTGGGGCTGCCGAGTGCTGATAAGTGAGTGGAGGCTGTTATAAGGGGGTGGCAACTCGATTAATGTCCATGATGTGGAATGGGATGTCCAAAAAGCCCATATAGGTGTTGGTCATTTGTCCACATACTTTTCGCCATATAGTGTAAGTACAGTCTAATTGGTAGATATCATGAATATTAGTCATTTTAATATTTCACACTGGAGAATTTACTTGAAGACAAAAGCGGTTAAGAAAAAGAAAACCATTAGTGTTTCGAGGTTTTCTATGTTTTGAGAGTGGACTGGTCTGAGGATTTAGAGATGGTATATTTTGTTTCCATTACAGGAGGAGTTATCTTGAGAAGGAGGTTTACCCCAACATCCCTGACGAGAGCTACTTCGCCCAGTTCAATAAGACCAGCAGGTAGAGGTTCAGCAGAATCATACCAACAAAAAAATAAAACAAATAAAAATTGAGACTATTCTCTCATACAAAATGTCCCTTGTAATTTCTATATTGAGTGGCAAAAACGTACGTATTTGTTGATTCCTACGATGTTAAACATTTTGCCACCATGCAGTAGCTTCAGCAGAGTTTATGAATCAGTTTTTAAATGTACCTTTGTCCATTTCCTCCCGGTAACATTAATAAAAAACCTGATTCTCAGCTATTGCTGATAATCCGCACTGCTGATCAGTATTCCTACATTTTACACAACACTGTTATTCCAGTGTACATGTTGTAAATGCATATAAAATTCTACAGTCATGACATATTTCATCAAATGTATTTATTTCCATACCAACAGAAATATTACACTTTTACTGACTCTCTATGATAAGAACTACTCTATGTTAATATTTCTTTTTGGCAGTGGTACAGTTTAGCACTTACGTGGCTCTTCAGTTTCCCTGAGACAGAAAATGCAAAAAATACCTACAAGGCTTACATTACCATCAACTGTTCCTCATGTATTATGAAAAAAACAAAAACACTAATACTAACACAGCAAATGCAAAACACACAAATAATACAGCAAATAACATAAATATCAAGGCTGGAAATAAAAGAAATGTTTCTATGGTTCTGACTGGATTATTTCAATAATTCAGAACATTTAAAATTCTGTAATTCAGTACTGCACTTCAGTAGCTAAGTGGTCTGTCTCATCAGCATCAGTGAGCCAATAAGCATACATATTCCCAAATCTAGGCCAGTAATTGGCTGTCTAAATTACATTCCTTATGCATGTCATTACAGTCAGTCTGTATTCAGTTGTGGTCAGTAAATAATCTCAGTTCCAGCACCTCACATTCATATCTGGTTTAAACCACATCCACACCCTAAAGTATCATTCAGGAATCGGTATGAAAATCAAGGTATCGGTATTGAAACATTCTGAGTGCTACTCAGCCCTGCACACAAATCTATACACTTAAGAAATGAAAGTCTTTCCAGGACTTTTTCAGCTTTTGCTTTCACCTCAGCATAATCTAGGTGAAGTATTTTACTCTTCAGAAGTTCAGATCAGTTATATCTGATGCTGCCTTTAGTTAAACCCAGTATATTGATGCAGTCGCAATAAAACTTTGTATCTACAAAATGGTAACTTTACAGGAGAAGGAAAAAACTGTCTTCACTTTAAATGGGACTTAATGGAACCGTTTTTTTTTTTTCCAAGTAAAGTTTGACCATTTCTATTGGTCCATTTACCATGAAGCTTTAACACAATGAGTGTGTTTACATGCACTCCATAATCAGATCATAATCAGATTTCTGCAGTTGTCTGATTATTCAAATGGTTATGTAAACAGCACACTCTGATTTCTTAGATCAGAGTAAGGTCTAGAAATCTGATAAACGGAGCTGGACTTTAGCTCAGTAATCAGATTTCTCAGTGTATGTGAACTCTGATTTCTTTCGGATTTTTCTCAGTCATGTGCATGTGAGAAAACAGACTGCGGTACCAGAAATAAGCAAGCAGTGTTGCCACAAGACTGCAGCAAAACACTTTTGAAGCAATGCTGAAATCAAATACATGCTTGACGAAATGAACGATTTAAATATTCTTCATCTTCTAGATGACGTATGTTCATATTTTCGGGTAAAGTGTCGCAGTGTTTAAAAAAATGAGTCATGAAGTTTGAGTTTTACATTATGTTTACGTCACGTCTTATTCTGTGAGTTTATTGGCTGGTTGCAAACCAGAAATCTGATTATTGTCTGACTCATGTAGACCTGGAGTTTTCACATTACCTAATTACATGTAAGCATGTTGATCGTATTACTGACAAAATCTGATTTTCTGCAGTTATCAGATTATTAAGTGCATGTAAATGCACTCAATGTAAAGAGCTGCTGGCATTTTCAAATTATGTCAAAATGAAAAACATGGTTTTGTTCCGACAGCGACAATATGTTGATCAGTTCATACTGGTTACTATCACTTCCTCTACCAGTTTCAGAACCATATGTATAGTTCTCAATAGTTAGTTAGAATTTAGCCCTATCTTTGGTGATATAGAGGTAAAAGAGATAAAAAACCCCAAAAAAACACGTGGCACGACTGCAAACAGTGTATGGTATCCAAGTACAGTACTTATCTGTGATTACATTCTTATTATTTTATACTCTTACTGGGAGTGTCTTTACTAAGTATAAAGTTTTTCAGTACTCTGTCCACCACTGAAATTTATCTCAATGACCTGAGCACCACTGCCCACCATTTTGTTGTGGACAGCCAAACATCACTAAAAAATTCAATAAATGAATGTCTCCACTAGAGGGCGATATATGCACACAAAAGACTGTGTGGCTCCATCCGTCAGAAGGCTGTGTTTCTCACCTAAACCCTAACAGAAAACATCTAAGATCACTTTTTAAAAAGGTACCTGGTTTTAAAACACTAAGATCACAACAACTTAGATGAACCACCCCTCAGAAAACTCATCGCTGTAACAAAACAGGAAAACGACTGGATGGACTGTAAGTTAAAGTGCACTTTTTCCTGTGCATGTACAATTGCACTTGTGTTCAAATTTCTCCAGTACGTCTACAGCAAAGTCTCTGAGACAAACTTGTCCCATTTCACTAGTAAAGCTGCAATGGCTTTATCCTTCACCGCAGAGGACAAGGAGCTATACCTGAAAGAGAAAAACGAGAAACCTCAATCCAGTAGAAGCTGCACAAACTGAAATTAATCATTTTGTCAAAGCAGTAGCATAACAGACTGTAACCACTCAGATTACATAATACAATATGACAAAAATCCACAATCTAGCTGGAAGCTCTGTGCATGCAGTAATAAGTTACCTGAGAGAGTTTATGACGAGCTCTTTCAGAGTGGCTAAATTAGACCTCATTCCTCCAAAGCCCATGAAGGCCTGGTAGAAGTCGTAAGAAAGACCCGACGCCTCAAACAGAGCTGGGTCATCTGAGCTGATCACCATGGGGTGGCCCTCCGCCATCAGCACGGCAGCTGGATGGTTTCTCAGGTCTGAAACCAGCTTCAGGACCTGAGCAGGACAAAAGAGAGAAGCATTCACAAACTTCACTCCTGGAGGACAAAGGCACAGCGCTGTTTAGTGCTGACTCATTCCAACAACCTGCTAATTATTAAGCCTTTTGTGTGTTGCATCAGGGTGAAGAATAAACAGTAATAGTGCAGCCTAAAAAAGCCAGATATGAAGAAATCAGAATGCTTTGTTTATTATCTGCTTGGCACAATACAACATAACACAATATAACAAAGGGTAAGTATTTTTCACTGATATAGCAGAGCTGTGTGGCAGTAAAGACCACATTATAAAAATTAACAAACCAAAATATGGCATTTTTCTGCAAATTTTAGTGCACAATTTCTATTTGCTGGTTTTAACATATAGGAACAAATAAAATATAAAATATAAACATGCACAGGCCACATTTTATGTTATATTTTTGAGAATAGAGTTAGATTCAGCAAATAAACAGTAACTGCATTAAAATGTGCAGAAGTGTGCTCTCTGTAGAGAATATGTGAACATATTTTCACTTAGAAAATCAACAAAGCTTCATTTGACCAGGGGCGTCCTAACCTTTGCATATGACTAAGCAGGGACACAAATTTTGGGATTACTGAATAAAATATTTGAATAAGACTTATTTGAATAATATTTTTTATACAAGCAAGCTACACATCTCTGTTCCAAATGAAAATGTTGTTTCCAGCACTTCTCTCGTTGTTTACTTCAGGAGGCTTAATTGTAACACTGTGGTCAAACTAACCATGTCGTGTGAAGAATGCACTTTTGGTTGAGTTATTTACATGCATCAAAATGAGGCGATATTACAGCCACCAAGAGACTAAAATAATGTAGTAGATAATTCTGTAATAAAAAAAGGAGTGTATGGTACAAAAACAGTGGGTGAATGTAGATAAAGCAAAATTAGTAACTTAAAGACAGTGGAATTCTATTGGAGACAGACTGATGCACTCACGTCTGCAATACTTTCTCAAACCATGTTGAAGCTCAGAACAGTCTGATTTATACGGTGCCGTAAACGCTTTAAAGCAAGAGGCGTATTTATTCATCATTCTCTGACTAAACAGTACTACTTGATGGAGGATAATGCTGTACCTGGTTAGAAATGGGGCAAACCTCCACTGGTACGTCCATCTTCCTGGCAAGCTCTTTGACCACAGGGTGGCGTGTCATTGCGAAGCCATGGCCAATGCGAGAGGTGTTGAACAGCAGGGCGTCCATCATGTTCTGATCAACATCTGTGCCCTCCGAGTCTACACAGAAAAGTTACAGAACAAAAACTTATTCTAAGACAAACTGATCCGAAGTCGTTTCTCTGAATTAACCTCTTAAGTTCCTCGGCATGGCCACATTTCACCTTAGTGCTCATTATTTAGAGTAATTTAGTGCATAGAAGACAATGCAAGAGTAGTTATTAAGACGTTATAGGTGTGAGGACTGGAAGTAAATAGTAAAAGTGAGTTGAAATGTGCCATACTGGTCTCGCCTGCATGGAAAAAGTAGGGCAGATGGACTCCCTGCTCCTCTGGCAACTCCAAAGCCTCTCTGAAATACCACAGAGGCCGTCCACTGTCTTCACGCCCCACCTACAACCAGGAGATTCTTTTTTTTAAGGAGTGCATTTAACATTCTGCATAAATTAGTCCTTAAGATGAAAACAAAGTGATTCAGTGTTTCTGATGTGAAATATCTTCTAGAGAAATTCACCACAGTGGAGGTGATAAGGACTAGACGTCTAAGAGTTTAACGCCTCTAAAAGCTCCCTTACAAAAAGGTAGTAACTAGAATAGTTACAAATACAATGCCAGATGTCTGAGATGTTGTTTTACAATAATTTGAGCCTGAAATGTTTTTAAATCCATAATAAGACAAAATAGGCCCCAAAGAAAACTTATTTTGTCAGATTTACTACTATTTTACTGTTTTGTAGAAACTCATAAATATGCTAATATTATTATATAGTATAACATATTTGTTATATTTGTTTGTTGGACAGTCATTGTTGAGTTTGCTCTGGGCTCAGAGTCACTGCAGTTGTACTCACAAAGTCAAAGCCTGCCATGATATCTGGAAAGTTCCTCTGTAGTGTCATGGCTTCCTCCACAGCCTTTACAGCTTCTGTTAAATTCAAACCCCTGAAATACACACAAACAAACACACACCGTTCCACATCTCGTAGAACTTCAGTTGTTGGTCTTGCATATAAAAACACAATTCACCACTATCATCTTTTTTCTTCAATATTTTCTTGAGAAAGGTCCTAAGAAAAAGTCTACGTCAGATTCATGATGTATTCTGCAGAATTGTTCGCACCTTTGTGCTCTTAAGTATGTGAAGATTCTGTTCTTACCTAAGAACAACAACACTGGTTCTTACGAAAACATAAGAAAACACTGATGAACGTCAGAATCTTTGTAAAAGCTGTGTAAGTGGGTTTTAAGAAGAATTTTCCTCTTAAGAACGTTTGGTGAATGAGGCCCAGTGTTTTAAGACTCTAACCTGTGGACGGTGAAGATCACTCGAGCACCTACAAAGTCTGGGAACTGAGCCCTGAAGTGCTGGAGCACCTCCTGGCAAGCCCTCATGCTCCAGTCTTTACTGTTTCTTCTGCCATCGAGCTCATAGGTCTGAAAAACAGCAGATTCCATTTCAAACATATAAAAAAAAGCCCATAAAGTATTTGGACATTTTAACTACTGGTGAACTTTAATGAAGTTCTTTAGGTTACTTCATAAATATATTAACATATTTAACAACATGATATTTGGCTCAGAAAGAGGCACTTTTAGCACTACATTAAACTGACTGTGTAGAGAAAACCTGGAGAAGAATTTCAGCCAGACTGCATTAAGGCTGCTGTAAAGCCCAGAGGAAACATCAAAGTCTAGGGCTGTTTATCTTACAGTGGTGTTGGTGAGTTTGTGTTCATTGATGGGATCATTAACTCAGAAATGTACAAAGATATTCTGCATACAAACCTGCAGAAATGTGGAAAAAAACAATCTAAAACACCATCCACCTTTGGAAAGAACACTACAGTCTTGTAAAATAACAGTCTTGGAATTGTCTCTTTAAATAAATGCCAATTCAATACAGTTGTAGGCATGGAACAAATGTCCACATTTTTTTGGGGCCACTGTCTTGAGAATCAACCAATAGATGAAACAGTTGAAGGAGAAGGAAGAAAAAAACATTCTCAACTTCATAGGTTGATATATAAATATAATTTTGCACCATTGCTTTTGGTCCATGACATCCTCACACAATATAAAGGACAGCTGGCATTTTAAAATTAAAAACCAATGAGGTTTTGATATAACAGGACGTCATCTGATAAAGATACTGATACGTACCGATGGTAGGAGAGCTCTTATTTCCACATACATGATGTTGTCCATGTAGAACTGCCTGAGGCCTTCATAAAAGTAGTCCTTAAAGACAGGGGCATACGTCACCAGTCCATAGGCCACCAAGAACGCCTGTTCAAACCTCTTCCAGACAACGTCTTGGTCTGGATAGGCTTTGTCCGGGTCCTCAGTAAACAGTGTGAGATTACGAATAAAGCTGCAGATGCGAGCAGTAAAAATTAAGACAAATTATCAATTTTATTCAAACCTTATCATGTTCTTCTATCATTTATATTGTTATTTTATGCTAACACTAACGTGTTGTGGCCTCAAAATATAGTTTATGTTATTTGCTGTTATTGCAGTATTTTGTAGCACAGCTTTGTAGGTTCATCTGTTTGACAGACCTCACAATTTTACATTGTTTTCATGTTTTCCTTCATTAATATTCTCTCATTACAACATTACGCATCACATAAATACATCATACAACCATTGATCCCTGTGGTCTCAACCAATCCTGACTGTTAGCCTAGCCACCATAGGAAAATAAATAAAAATCAAAACATGAAGAAAACAGCAGTTGTATCTTTATCTTTACCCTTTCAGCCAGAGAAAATGAGCCAAACTGATGTAAGGTGTCTTGATAGCTATGTAACCTTGCTAACTTTAGCTCATAGCTGGTTGTCCTCCTCATCTGATGAGTCATTTCTGTCATTTGAGTGATCCATTCTGTCTATTATACTGATGTTTTGAAGACAGTTCAGCTGTCTACCTTCCTTCTGCATTCACCACCCAACAAAAACAAAAACTTTCAAATCAGCCCTTCCCCAAATATCCACCCCAAAGCATTTGGGGTTTCTCAGAAGTTCCTCCCACCTTCGATATACATCATCAGAAGGGGGGTTTCTAAGTCAATAAACTGTAAAATCTCACTCTATAGATTACAGCAACAGACAAAGAGGTTAAAATATTTTCATTCTGTCTACAGTTTCCCTTTAAGGTCTCTTCGGCCTACCTGTTGTCCAGCTCAGTGCTGTTCATCTTCTCTCTCAGTGTTTTGAGGAGAGTCCACGTGGAGCAGTGGGTTTGAGGCTTAGGCTGCCCAGCAGAGAAGAGAAATCGTACCGAGTTATCAGCAGTAAAGCACACGTAGCAGTTTTCTCTGTAGGTGACGTTCTTTACCAGCCATTCAACTCCCACCAGGGCAAAGTCATGGACGTGTAGCGCTGCACCTTTAACAGATAACAGGAACCAGTTTGGCTTGTCAGGTAAAGAAAGATGCCACAGCCAAATACCAAGTGACCTGGAGCACTAAATAACAGAACACTCTGAAAAAGGACACTGAATTTAAGGGGGAATTCTACAGATTTTCCCAAAATGTAGTATATATACAAAGTCATTCAGAGTGATTTGCTGTAAAATAGTCTGTTCTAGAGAAACTTGCAGAGACACAATTGTTATCGTGATAAGAGGAATCAGATGTCTGAAGAGTTTAATGCCTCTAGAAACTAAATTGAAGTGAACTATTACATGAAATGGTTGCAAATATACTGTGACATCATGTATTTTGCAGTAGCTTTGAGAAAGTTCTGGCCTAAAATTTAGTTTCAAATCTATTCATGGCATATGAGTACATACAGAGCATTGTAGGGCAAAATATTTCCCAAAGTAAGCTTGTTTTTTAGATTTACTTCTATTTTACCATCATCAACATTCTATAAAAACACTGAAGATAAGTAAGTTTACTGGCCATTTCAGATAGTAAATAAAATAGCTGTATTTTTCTTGTAGGCACTGTGACCCCTGGTTCCCATTATCACCACTGTAAAGAAATCTGAGCCAGTCAATCAAAGCACCTCGAAAGACAATTACTCAACAACTGAATTATGCAGAAAGAATTTCCCTTTAATTAAACTATGCCATGAATGATTTTGGCATGTCGGCAGTCAATAAAGCAACAACAGACAAACTTAAATACAGCAAAAAACAACATAGAAAATAAATAAGTATGAATATATATTATGCAGGGCTTTTAGTCTATTGCTCTACTATGATATAACCCAGCAGCTCCCTATTCAAGTCTTTTCCCTGCTCTTTTTCATTAATATTAATATAATATTATGTTATATTAATATTAATATTCACCTGTTATTTTGACTCAGAGCAGTTAGAGCAGGTAAACAGTGTGCAGTGCACTGGATCACCAAGACTGAGATGCTCTGATTTAGGCAAAGGAATGTAAAGCTTTATGGAAGCAGTAAAGTGTCCTAGATGATGGAGATCAAAGTTACTTTACCTTTGGGCATCTTCTGTAAAAAACTGAAGACTGGGCTCCGCTCAATCAGAGGCTTTGCTTTAAAGAAGTGTATTGAAGGGGGAAACTCTGGTAACGCCATATCCTGCAGCTTCAGCTGGTGGAGCTTTTCATCGAGGAGCTTTTCTTTGTCGTTCAGCACCACGCCGCCTCCTACCTCTCTGATCATCTCCAGCTGAATGAGAGCTTCTCGCCGCCGAGGATCTGGCCTTCCGCAGCACAGCGGCGTCCCACACAGCAACACCACGCACAGCAAACCCAGCCGCGTCCTCCAAGGCAGCGCACCCATCGCTACGAGAAGAGCCATGGAGGACAGCAGGACACACTGGACAGCAGACACTGGAGCAGTGAGATAAACCTGCAGAGGTAATATGACAGTTCAGCGCGGCTGTACAGGAAGATGTTTGGAAACAATAATTAAACAATGTGTAGAAAATTTAATAAGTGATAAGTAGTCATAAATTCAATAATATTTAATCTTAATTATTATTTTTCTTCTTGTTATTATTGTTATACATTCTAATATATTTCATTATATTTTTATATATTCTAAACCCGTTTATTACTACTTCTATGACTAATAATAGTAATAAATATTATTAGATTTGCAGCTACAAGCTTTATTACAACTATTATCATGCATTTAAAACTAGTTAATTACTACTACTACTAATTATTATTTATTTTGATTATTAATTTACTAGCTTTATTACTACCTCTACAACTATTATTGCAATGCTGCTATCGGAACAAATCCTCGTATCTCCATTTTTGTCATTTTCCAGTTTTTCACATGAACTGAAAATGCCTGTTGCCCTTTATATTGTGTGTACATTTCATGAAGAATGGACCAACAAACATGGTCAAAATATACTTGGAAAAAAAGTCTGGTTCCATTGACTTACATTAAAAGTAAAGTATGTTTTTTCCTTCTCCTGTAAAGTTACCATTTTGGAAATATGAGGTTTTGTTCCGACATCAACGATTGTTATTATTATGCATTCAAAACTAGTTAATTACTACTAATAAGAAGTTATTATTTATTTTGATTAAGAATTTATTAACTTTATTACTACTACAACTAGTATTATTATACATTCAAAACTACTACTAATAACAATGTGTTTATTTAATTCATTTATTATTACTATTATTATTGTTGTTGTTCTTATTATTATTACTATTATTGTGAAGCTATAATCTTTACAACTAGTAATAATAATTATGCATTTATTTATTTCAATTATGATAACATTATGATTAAGATTATGATTATTATTATTATACATTCTAAACTATTGTAGTACTATTACTACTACAGTTAATAAAGTAGTAATACATATTAACAACAGCAGCAACAAAACATCAACAATAAGAAGGAGAAAAAGAAGACGATAACAATAATAATAATAATGATAATAATAATAATAATAATAATAATGCTTATGGTTAAAAAGAGCTTCAGGTAAAGGGGGCATGGCAGCTGCTTTCTCTTCTTTTTCTCTTTATGCAGTAAAATGTCTGTTAAATTCAGTTTTAACCGAGAACCACAATCACACACATCTGCTCCAGCAACAAAGAAGCGATGCAGCTTTGCATTACCATCATTTTTAAACATCCAGGTATGTAAGAAAAGTGATTAAAGACCATCAGCAACACTTTAACCCTGAAATCAACAAAGCACCGTCTGTTCCGCTGAGCGGAGCAGCAGAACCCCGTGACTCTCCCGTTCCGCTGAGCGGAGCAGCAGAACCCCGTGACTCTCCCGTTCCGCTGAGCGGAGCAGCAGAACCCCGTGACTCTCTGTCCGTTACTCATTATCAGCGCTCAGTCAACTGTCGTTTGTCATCGCTGCTTATTTTTTAAATATAGACTATTTTTTCTCTATCACTTTTACCTTCTAACAGAAAAACAGGTCGACTCCTGACTGACTGAGGGAGTAGAGGCTGAAGTCTGTTTCCTATCCGCCAGCTTAAGAACCTGAAGTCAGCTTCTTGTTCGAATTTTCCCGTTCCACCTTAAATGCTGCAGCAGTTACATTCTGGCGCTTGAGGCAGACCCGAACGCCAGAATGGAACAGCTGCGGTATTTAAGGTGGAACGGGAAAATTCGAACAAGAAGCGGATTTCAGGTTCGTCTGAGGGACCGTTTCGGAGACACAGCTGTGCTTTAGCTTTACCAAGACCAGCGAAAAGCCACAATAATCATTAAAAATGTGCTTTGAGTGGACGGACGGGATGTGCTCACCGTGATAAACCGGGTGAAGAGTCTGAAATATAAGTTAAAGTAGGAAATACTCTGCAGGACGAGCGGAGAACCAGCAGCGATTTGCGGCTTCCCTGCTAACGACAAGCTCAGCGTCCAAAACAAGACACGTCACATCCCGCGCTGAGCTCATTGGCTGACGAGCAACAAAACATTTACATATCCAGTTAGTCTTCGACTAAATCTCAAACTGCTCCCTACTTTTCATATAGTGCACTACGTGAGTTTTGGCTTCTGCCACCAAACGTGCCACCAGTATTGAATTGAAGACATGTGGCTGAACAGCAAAAGGCTCTTCGTAAGAGATATTGTGCACAGTTTGGGCGCAGGAGCCACTATGCTAATCAACACAATAGTGCACTACGTAGGGAGCAGGGAGCCATTTGGGATTCAGCCTTTGTTGTTTTTCATGCAGCACTACAAGTCTTAGGCAGACAAGAAAATTGCTTGTCTCAGCAGTGCGTGCGTTTTGCCAAGAAAAACACTGTATAAAAATAAGAATAAATACAAATAAACATAAAACTGTTTTATTAAATGTTACAGGCTTTCTTAGAAGAATAAAGATAGAACACAGGTTTGGTTCCTGACTTCTCGCTCCATTCAGTCTAAAGTACACTTCATTTAAACCCCTTAAAATCCCAGGCTCATTACATACCAATGATTATTATTCAGTAACTACAGGGACTTCAATGCAAACTGGCAAGATATTCTTACATTATGAAAGGGTGTAACAAAACTTTGGGCGGTGGACCCTGGCCATTTAAGAGGTTGATTTAATGCAGGATTGACTAGATAAACTTAGTACTCTTTACACTGGTGGTGATAGGAACCAAGGATCATGATGTTTATAACACAAATTCAGCCATTTTATTTACTATCCAAAACTGGTTTTTATATTGAATAGTGGTAACAAAAGAAAAAAAATCCTTTGGGGACTATTTTGCCTTATAACACCCTGGCATGTGTGTTTAAAATATGTTTTGGACCAAAATTGTATTGTAAAACAATGACTCTGGCATCAAGCAGCGTATTCATAATCATTTCATGTAATAACTTTCTGTGAAGGAGCTTTTATAAGCACTAAACTGTTCAGACGTCTGGTTCCTATCACCACCACTGTGAACAACTCAGTAAGTTTCTCTAGAACAGCATTTCACACCAAACCACTCTGAATGACTGTTCACATCTTAATCACTTAGTTATGCAGAAATGTATAAAAGTCAATGAAATTTCTTGAGTCTCTTAATTTTATATTTTTTCATTTGTTTGGTCTGGGAAGAGCAATGTTTCGCCCCGCTCATCTTATTTAATTAATTAAAAAAAAAAAAGAACAAAAATTCATGGAAAAAGTTATTTATTCTAAGAAATGTACAGTATAGAAAACACTTCGGTCCATTTCCAAAATAATCTACGTCAGTCAGATAAGAACTTGTAAACTTCACATTAAAATGAAACATACAAGAGTCCTTTTTGATGCCGTTGTGCTACTGAGGTATAGTCAACTGTTCAAAAAAATAATAAAAACAGAAACAAAGACAGAAAGAAAACATTTATATTAAAAACAAGGAGCCCAAAATAATGTACAAAAGGTAAAACAGCAAATAAATATGATTCATATTTAACCAACTTTAGTCATTTCACTAGTGTGGACAGAGACGGACAGCAGGAACAGTGGAGGGGTGATAGAATCAGTAGGTGCAGCTCAGTCTCTAATGCAGCCGACACACGAGTACAAATCTGTACACAGCAAATATGACCTCAGTCCACAGAAACTAGCCTGTCCTATCATAAGAGAACAGGATAAGCGTAGAGTACAGCTCAGCGTCTACTGCTAATTCCCTATAAGCAAAGTCTGCACAATAACGCAGGGCCACGTCTACATCAGCCCACAGCTGCTAGCATTTCTTCTGCTGCTCCTTTTTTTTCTTTTTTAAACTGTAAAAAACATCTGTAACACTTCATGTGTCTACTGAACATCTTTACGAATACAAATGATCGCTGCCAGACACTCTCTACGTTTGTGATGCAACAAGTTAAAACAGGCCAAAGATGAAGGCCAGTACAGTGATATTAAGCCCTTTAATGGACCGACCTCAGCCCAGTCTTCATTTCATTAAACAGAGACGCTGTAGTGATGGTGATAACTTTGTAGTCGTAATTGATTTTACTTCACATTCCCGTTATCTCAGACACGGCTGGAGAAACACGCCGACATTCAACATGCATAATAATGCAGACGACAGGGCGAGGATGGCATTACGAACTTGGCACTGACGTCTCATTAGAATTAAGGCTTCTGCAGAGTTCATACAATCATACATTGAGTAGTCAAACATAGACGTACTTCAGTGTAAATAACAGTGAGAAACTAGGATAATTTGTGTGGGAATGCCAAGCATGCCAGACTCTTTATGAGGTAGATATAAATAATCTGCAGCCATTGGAACAAAAATAGCCGTCACATTTTAATGCCCAGTTAAAAAAAAGTTGGGTAATTAAACATAAATGTAAAGAGCAAACATGCTAATTCAAATGTAAACACCACAAATCTGAATTAGGGATGCACGATAATATTGGAATCATATCGGGCAGATGTTTCTATTTGACCGATATTTCAAACTGATTTTTGATGATGTATTATTTTACTCTAGAAGAGCAGGAATGTATAGGCAATGCTGAGCTGCTGCACTAAAATATCTGCTTTTTATTCATTTTACTGTATTTGTAACCCTACACTCTTAAAAATGAAGGTGCCAGAAGCCACAGTGCTCCTAGAAGAACTACTTTTGGTTCCCTAAAGAACCTTTGAGTAAGTTGGATCTTTAGAGAACGAGACGTGTTAGAGTGAAGAATGACCTTCACATAATGTACAGCTTCTGGGATGAACCCTTAAATTGGTAAAGAACCTGTATATTATGCAAAGCCTTCAAAAGGGTCCCTTTTTTAAAACATGGTTCTTTAGGGAACATGAAGTGGTTCTTCTATTGAACTGCTCAAAGAACCCACTGTAGAACCTTCATTTCTTTAAGAGTGTACAGAAATAAATGTCATATTTCCCCATAATGCTAATCCAGGTGGGCCCAGTCCCAATTCCAACAATTAATCAACGTTTATATCTCGGCAACAACAGATACAGCTGTATGCAAAAGTTTAGGCACCCTTGATACACAAATAGGCACGCACCCTCTACAGAGAACACACCTCTGCACACAACGCATAATTCTGTTTATTTATTTGTTGAATTTAACATACAGGACACAAAAATAAAACATTTTAATTATAATAATTATGGCACATTTTATATTTTGTGTTTTATTTTTTTCTGAAATATTTCACCCAGCAAATAAATAGAAATTGTGCACTAAAAGTTTTTTTTTGCAACTGTTCAAGTGTGTTCTCTGTAGAGGATGTGTTAATTATACTCACTTAGAAAATGAGTGAGAACAAGTAATTTGACTGGGGTTGTTCAAACTTTTCCACACCTTATGCGTCGGCCCACAATTCCCATATTAGTGCATCACTGCTCTGAATGATATGCCATTTAGGGCAGCCGTGACGAGTCCAACAAGAGAGAAAAATGCTCACTGCTTTCAATAAGCCTGAAAATATCCTCCCTTAAATAAAAAAAAATTATATTTATGACAATTAAAAACAACAAATCAGTTCCAATTCATTTTGATCAAACTAAGAACAACTGGGTTACATGTTTTTTGCCCATATAAAAGGCTTTAAATCAGAACATTAAAAAAGCTGTAAGGTGTAATCATGTAGAGTAAAAATCACCATCTCTAAGTGAATCGAGGTCAATTAATCATCACAGTTCCAGTCATCTCACGCATCACTTCCCCTTTAAATAATTCATTAATACCCGTATTATAAGCATGACACCCTGAGGACATGAAGTTCATCACGCTGAATTGTGAAAGAGGAAGCACCAAAATAGAAAAAGAAAAAAAACGTTTCTCTATGACAGCCCTAAATATTTCCTATTCACATATACAAGCTACTTTCACAGTCGTAAAAATGTGGCTGAAGTCAGACTCTTCCCCTCTTAAGGAATGAAAGATACCCAAATTATATACATGACAAAAAGGATGAGGCTTTTCACATCTTCCTCATGCAGCGTATATATAAACTAGCAGGACAGATCAGTTAAGTGATTGACAGAACATGCATTACAGCTCAGAGGGGGTCGTCTCAGATATCTCAGAGTCACGTTTTACTGTCATATATACATAGTAGCACACATCTATGAAGTCCAAGGCCACTAATTCCAGTATTAAAGACTATCTCTAGTGCATAAACAACAGGAGCAGCTGAGAACACATTCTTCGAGCCAAGGCAGCGCTGAAGGATGCATAACGCAGCAGAACTAAGCGGAAATTCTGCTGCAGTTGAGGTCGAGATGGCCACCTAAACAGGACCATCACTGATGATCCACTTGCTGATGACCCACTCAGCGTCCCATCTGCTGTTATGTTAGTACATCTAAAATAACTCACACATACAAGACATTCAAAGGGAATGCGAAAGGCAACAGAGTGTCCAGTGTGTCCACGAAGATCAGAGATGACTTGACTAAGTTTACAAGTACCTTCTATAAAAACACCTGAGATTAACTTTGGAAAGGAACATCAAGGTAATAATTGACTCCTCAGACCTCTCAATGGCAGCCTCTCATTGCTGGTCCCTTTCCTTTTAGCTGCACATGCAAAGAAGCCTGGAAGCTTTAGCTCCACAGGGAAAGAGGTCTCACTCTCAAAGTGCAGTTTTCTGGCAGGGCTCTTTCAGGTAATGATGTACAAAGAGAAAAGGCTGCAGAAATCCAAAAGCAGTGGAAGGTTTCAAGCTCCTTATTCATCACGGTTGAGGCCCACAGAGCTCCTTGTTGAAGAATGATGTTCAATCCAGTGGAAGCAGCACTTCAACACTGCTCCACAACACAAAAACAACACAGAAATGACATTCACTCTCGAAAGCAACGTGTCTTTTCACAGTCATATTTCAGGAGCTGGAAAGGGATCTTCCAGTTGAGGAGATGAGGCTCTTCTTTGCTCAGCTCTCTCCGTTTGATTCATTCATCACCTACACAGTAAAGACATTCCTTAGTGTTTTCATGAACAATCAATGATTCTCAGAATTAAAAGAAACATTCGAAATTTAATTTCAAGCATCAAAGCAGCATCAAATTAAGCAAGTTTCTATAGTCATGCAGAAACTGAAAAAGACAATCCAGCAGGTGTCAAGTAAGAGGAATTGAATTTGAAACTAAGTGCATTTTAACATCATGTGGTGGACCTTCCTCACAGCCACCGCACTTTCCGTTTAAACCCAGCACTGACGCTGGAATACAACAGGAGTGGGTTGTTTACATGGAAACTAAGCAATCTCACCTTTCATACTCCTTGCTTACTGCCAGGACCACTGGGAGCTGCTGCATTCATCATGTTCTGCCTATCATAGAAGAAACAGAAGACACTGGTCAAGAGAAATGATCACAGCACTGACATTTTATCATATCTTCTCCATTCTGAATGAGGCTGGTGCCTTTGATATTTAACAAATGTGATCCCACAAAGCAAATTTGAACATGAAAAGACATGAATAGGAATATAAGTCACACATCAGCCACATTTTATTGTGCTTCTGATTAAACAAATCAATAATAAGCACCTATCCAAAAAAAAGTGTATTGAAACTGATATAACTGGTATAACTCCCTGCTGGTAATTTTAAACGAGCGGCTTTTTTTTAGGGCCCGGTATTGAACATGTGGTCAACCGGGGGCTTTTGAAAAATACGCAAGACACATAGCGCCCTCCACTGGAAAATCTCAGCAGGACTGACTTAACCATATTCACTTTTTGAACAAACAAATAGGAGGGCATGGGCAGAACTCAAACCCTTCCCTCTAGAGTCATTAAAGTTGATGTTTAGAGACAGGTAGAGCTAAAAAATGAATTGGTTTTATTGTGAAATTGCAGTTTGAAAGGGTGCAATTTTCAAATTGCAAGAGCTGCAACGCACATAATATTCAACATAATTTTTAAAAGCTTTAAAAGTGGGGAAATTTAAGGTAATAACAGCGCTTAAGCTTCAAAAAAATGCATGTGCTGGACTTTTTGGTGAAAAAAAGGTGAAAAAGGCCCGAAGAATAACTCTTATAAAATAAACACATTTACATCTCAATCACAGTACTGATCAGCAAAAATCATGACCTTCATTTTCAAAGAGAAATGCACTTTCTCTTACCCAGGATGAAATAAGTGTTCAGGTCCCATGTCTCTTTGAGGCACCATCATGCCCTGGAAGTGGCCTACAGCATGGGGATGCCTGTACATGGCCATGCGGCTTTGGCCTGGGGAGTAGGGTAGCTGCTGGGGCCGCTGTAGGGCTTCCATCAGGTGTGGGTGAGGATGCTGAGTGGGGAAATGTCCACTGGGGCGCTGGGGCCTGGAGGGGTATGGCCCGCCGGGCATTGCTTGGGGTGGAGCGGCTCCACCTTGCTGCATGCTAGGATGCATGGCTCGGGGATCATACGGAAAGTTGTGCTGGGGATGGGCGGAGGTGCGGCGGCGGGCCGCAGCGTTGTGGCTATCCAGGTCCAGCAGTTCTTTAGGGCTTTCAGGCTGGTCAGAGCCCTCCTCCATCTGGGCATGTTTTGCTGGGCTGCTGCCATTCTGACTCTCAGCAGAGCCGCTGTGGACTCCGTCTGGAAGAGAACTAGGGGACATCAGACTTCCGCCAGAACCTTCAGAACCCAGAGGGGACATGGTGTTCTCCCTCTGCCGGCCATTGACACTGTTACCTGCCACAGGCAGGTAAGCGTTGGGTATCATAGGGTGACGGGGCGGGTACTGAGGCCTCTGCCACTCAGTTGCTGGAAAACCATGCCGGCTATTCTGCTGGTGCTGAGGATAGTACTGATGTTGTTGTTGCTGGTACTGAGAGTGCATGCCCGGGTGGGCCTGAGGGTGCTGGGGTCTCACATGGTACTGATATGCAGAACCTTGCTGATGATACGGAGGGTAATGGGCAGGATTGAGATGAGGGCTCATAGACTGAGATGGCGGTGTCTGGTTCGGGTAGGGTAATCGGACAGAAGGGGGCACTGCCCTGCCCATGTACTGACCATACTGTGAAGGTGCTGGACCACCCATGCCACCACTATATTGAGCCACAGTGTTACTTGCAGGACCGAGAGCGTGGCTGGCTGGTGTTTGGCTATGAGGCAACTCTGGCCGGCTCAACTGGGCCTTTGACTCGGGGCTAAAAGGCTGCTGTTTGTAGTGGCTGTTAGTATTTGCAGGAGCCGTCTTTGCATCTGGATTGCTACTCCCAGAGCCTCCCCCAGGCTCTCGGCTTGGTTCGCTGGGCCTCTGGTCGCCACGGTCAGCAGGAGAGGGCTGGACAAGCGGTTGGGACACAGGGTGGCTGGGGGGCAGAGGCGTGAGGGAGGCAGGCTGCTGAGCACCAGGCTGAGACACCTGAGGAACTGTCTGTGGCATGCCATGAACAGGGCCTGACTGTGGGCTGCGGACAGATCCACCCTGGTGCATCTGCTGATGAGGGACATTCAGCGTGTGTCCATTGTGAGGGTACTGAGGGGACATACCCTGAGGAACCTGTTGAGAGGGACTGTGCAATACTTTGTGAGGAATATTTTGGGGCAACTGGGAAGGGCCATTTTGGGAGAACAGTGGAGGGGCAGCTGGGGGCATTTGTTGAGAGGGATGGAGGGGTAATTTTTCTGGACTTTTCTGAGGAATCTTCAAAGGAGACAAATCCTGAGATCTCTGTGATTGGGATTCTGAATGGGGGCCATTTTGAGAGGAGGGCTGGGAACTGTTTTGGGGTATCTGAGGATTGACTTCTCCATAGCTTTCTCCCTTCGCTTCTAGGCTGTTTTTCTGTGGTGACAGCAATGCTGAAGGCACCTCTGCAGAAGTCTTCTTCTGTGGTGATTTGCCCCATTCTGGGCCACCGGGCTGTTCAGGCCTTTCAGCTGGACCAGGGTGAGGAGGGCCGTTGGACTCTTCGCTTAACCGTTTGTCAGCCAATTCAACCTCTGGACCTTGAAAAGTGAACAGAGTTTAAACTTGGTTGGAAGCCATTATAGTATGGCATTTCAAAAAAAAAAAAATACTATTATGTTTTTCTATAAATACATCTTCATCCAAAACTGCTATTTTGCTAATAATGAATGATAGCAAGGAGTGATTCATTTTTAGCTTTTAATTGTAAATAACAATATTTGTTGGGTAAAGAATTACCGAAGGTTAACCATTGAGACTGACGACTCTCCTACCTTTGGCTGCTCCATCTACAGTCCGGTTATCCAGAGTGCTCTTTCCTATAGAACCAGGGTGCTGGCTTTCAGGAGCAGAAGCAGTCAACGGAGAGGGCTGATAGCTAATGTTGCGGTGGGAGGATGAGGCTGAGAGCTGCTGAAGGGCAATCATCTCTGGGCTGTCCATCATTGAGCCCACATGTGGCCTGGAGTCTTGAGGGGTCAGTGGAGGCCTGTGGCCCATGGGTCCTGGGGAATTAACTGCAGGCATTCTGTATGGGCCATTCGAGGGGGGATATCCTGCAGTGCGTGGGGGACGCATCATACTATGACCGTAGGGGTGCTGATTGCCCATAGTCTGCTCCTGCATCATAGGCCCTCTAGGTAGCTGCTGTCCTTGATGGTTCGGCCAAGCACCATACGGACCTGGCGGAGGGCCATAGGAGGTGTAAGAGTTGTGCATGGGAACACCAGGTCTCGGGTAGCTGTTCCCCACAGGGTGCATGGGTTGTCCGTCAGGGTGTTGGACAGATGGGTACATGTTTCCTTCGGACGGAGGGGTGCAAAAGCCTCCAGGCTGTAGGGCCACTGGTCTTGGCCCCAGCGACGGGCCATGAGTTGGTCCAATGTAGGTGTGCTGCTGATGCTGAGGTTGAACTGGTCGAGTTTCAGATCCCACTGGGTATCTGGGACCAAGGTGCGGACCATTGACAGGTGGACCCTACAAAGAAATTAAACAAACCTTAATGAAACTTCACACTACTATGACAAACCTATAAACACCAGACAACTGACATATGTTACACAGCAAAATGCCCAGCTGCAAAGTATTATGCCAGTCTAAGAATGTTCAAAAGACGAATGCGCTTATTCAGGAGTGCTGAGATGGCATACCTGCATGTTGTAATGAGGTATGTGCTGGGGCTGATGCTCTCCTGGTCCTCCAGCCATGAAGGGTCTGTGTCCTGGGTACGGATATCGGGGGTCCATCATCAAACGTTGGCCATACATGCCTGATGGTAGAGGACCTGGGGCCCGCTGCAGCTGTAGTGAAAAGAAAAAAGAAAAAAAAATGAAGGTACGTTCATTTTGTTTAACTGTATTAAATCCACTAATGACTCCACTGTATTTTCCATGCACTTTCCTCAGAGTTAAAAAGTACATAGACAAAGTGCTTTAAATAATCATGTATACACTAATTCTACTACCCTTCCACATCACAGAAGCTAATCCAGACATTTTAACCCCTTTTCATAGTAGGCATAAAATGTCATTTCCGCTCATTTTTGTGGTTCCTCAGTGCCACTACATATTTTTTGGAATATATTTTGAAGGTAATGTGTATGATTAAAAACAAAAGATTTTCATTCATACTTGTAGATGAAAAAGGAAGTCAACATTTACAAAGTTTTTTTTTCCTTTTTGGTTTTCTTTGTGACAGTTTTTGATATCTTTCTTTGAGTTTTTTTGAGTTTATGATTATTTTATATCAAGAAAGCTGCAGTTGTGCTGTCCATTTGCTGGCCATCTCGGCACAGCCGTGTTTCTGGAGAGGTGTGAATTGTTTTCACTGCATTGGGTTCCTCAGCCTTCCTTTTACCCCTCATTGCTTGCTAGCAGCTCCACACATAGCCAACAGGGTCCTAGTTAAGCTCCTAAATATTCTACTCTGTAAAACTTCTGTTCATTAAAAATATCTGAGTCAATTTCCATTCTGCCAGGGGAATGGCCACTAGGAGGCCTGCAGAAAGAGGAGGAATTCCCCCAAAATACCAATAAATCAAAGCAAGAAAACATTATCTGTAAAACCAATTAGAAGCTAGTGAATTTTACTGCTTTTTGACCATCTGGCCTTATAAAACAGCTTTTAAGGTTAAAGTTAATCTACTGAAACATTTGAACCTGTGAGAAGATTGTGCTGTATGATGTCAGAGAACAGACAGGAAGTGTAGCCTTGCCTGTTGGCCAGGATGGTACATAGCAGCCCGTGGATCATTCCCAGGATGAGGCTGTCCTGGGTGGATGTTCTGAGGATGCGATGGCCCATTGGTGTAGGGGAAGGCAGGTGGTGGAGGAGCCGACACTGAGCTGTTCTCCTGAGGCACCTTGCCTCCTTTACCGCTGCTGGGGGCTTTACGTTTCTGCACCTGCTCTGTAGCCCGGATCAAGCTTTCAGGCCCTGACTGCCGGCTGCTCTTGCCCTTTTTCTTCTCCTTGCGGTCACGCTCCTCCTTGGTAACATGGAATTCCTCGTCGGTGTCTGCATCCTCGGAGGGGAAGTGTTTCAGCAGGGCTCTGTTGAAACAGCGCTCCAGTGACTCAGCCATTATGGTGTACTCTGAAGGAACACAAACACACAGACAAGGCTCATCCATTTAGCCTATCAATGTGAGACAAAACACACATGCGTGCACACACAGAGGTCTTCGCTCTGCACTTATAGCTGGTCCGCTGACCAGGTCACAGAGCCACGGTTGACCTCTGACCCCTCTGCCTGTCCTGGTGGGGGGAGAGCGCTCTGACAGATGGATGGCTCCGGAGAGGGGAGCTGCAGGGATGGAATGTCTGTGTGGCACTGCAGGTCCCGGCACACTGGAGGACAGCTCAATCGCTCTCCATTAATCACTGTCAGCGCCTACTCACACACACACACAAACGGACACCACCCTCCACCACTCACATGAATTCCTCCCCGCTAAACTACAAGCTTTCAGCAGTCAGGATTATCAAGATCGCTGGAAAATGCCTGCCTTGTTGCTGAGTGATGTTTTTTTTTTTTTGTATTGCAAGAAATATGTAAGCTTAAAATATTTACCGCTCTCTTCCCCGTTGTACTCCAAGCAGTTCTCAAACATGAGCTTCACATCAGCTACAAATTCATCCTTGACAACGTACTCTCCTTCATTGAGCTTTCTCTCTATGGTGGACAGATCCATTGGGGTCTGGAAGAACAGAGAGGTTTTTTTTTTTTAATATAATATTTTTATTTTAGCCCAAGTCTTGAAAATTCATATAAAAGTGTCAACACCAGGTCACAGATTTCATAAATGTTTACACAACTGCTTACATAAATATAAATGCCCTTATTTTAATTATTATTGGCTAATAATTCAAATGAGGACATTTGATATTATTATTCTATTATTATATAATTAGCAACATACTATCATACAGATAATTAATGCATCAAATAAAGGCTTTTCATAAATGCATCACATTTAAGTGCAGTAATACAATGCTGCTGTCGGAACAAGACCTTGCATCTCCATTTTTGACGTTTTCGAGTTTTTGACATAATTTGAAAATACCTGTTGCCCTTAACTTTGTGTGTAAATTTCATGATAAATCGACCAAAAGAAACAGCCCACAATTGCTTAGTCCAATGACTGATTTAATATTTAAAGAAATAAGTATCAGCTACTTAGTAATGACTAACTAGGCATTAAAGAAGAGTTTATGCATCACAAAGTTCAAGATAAATAACTTATCGTTTAAAACAAGACAGACAATTCATTTGTGATTATTACATTTCTAAATGCTTAACTTGTTCCAAGTTACATAATTTAGTACCACATAAACATTATTATCAAACTTTAATTTATAATTATGTCCCTACAATTCAGAGTAACTACTGATTATTCATAGGTGTTGAAGTGAACTACTATATAATCCTTAACAGTCATTAACAAACTGTCAGACAATGATTAAGCTGCTGTTATTAGGGCCTGTTATTACAATTCATAACACATTTTCCTTCTGTATTAAGGGGCAGGGCAAGTGTGAATACATTTCTGAAGGAAGATTATGAGAAAACAAACTTTGTCTTTTAAATAATATGAAGAATCATGCCTAACATATCCAGGAACAAGAACTAACAAGGTAAAAAGGGTCATTTTTGATTTCAGGTTGACTTTAAAAATATTTCGAGTGCCTAGTTTGAATGCCTAGTTTAGCAAGACCAGCTGGGAAGTAGGATGCTTACCTGAATGATCTCATGATAGTTGGGGGCATAGGATTCATCCACAGGTTCCATGAAGGGCCAGGCATCTTTGTGAGCCTTTAGAGCCTCCAGCACTGAGAAGAGAGAGTGCTGCATTAGAGCACTAAATCTATTGCAGCTTACAATGAGAAACATGTTACACTTCACCACCAGTACAGACTGACCCACAGCTACTTACCTTTGTACAGAGCAGCGTAATCATCATCGATTTCATAGCTGAAACAAATGAACAAGACAACAGTGAAAGTTAGCATAAGAGAACTATACAAACTGAAATAAGTTTGACACCCTATAAAGTAGTTAAATGGAAAATGTGTCTGAATTTTAAAGGCTATGGTGTTCTCAAGGTACAGTTTAGAAATATAACATGTTCATGAAAAATCTAAGAGTGCTGACTGCCTGTATGTACGGCATTAGCCACAAAACAGGTCCTAGATACCCAGCTCCAGTCCTGTGGGGTCACAGTCCAGAATAGTTTGGCAACTTTCCCTTAAAGCTCCTACCTAGTCTATTAAAAAAGCCCATATCCTGCATTTGTTGCATTTTATTTCTTCCCTGTGGAGCACTTATGACATCTGTGTGGCTTTATGTACCGAAAACAGTCATAGCTCATTTTCAGACAACTATTTTCCAACCTCTCTTTACCCCTTCATTTGAGCAAGTTGCTGCTGTTACTTTGCCTTTAAAACCTGTAAATGAACTCTGTTCTGATTGGCCACTCTGTACTGTGTCATGTTGAAAAAGTAGTCGAGGCTGCAACACTTCTTGTAACTTCAAGAATGAATTGGGCTGAACTGCTGTAGGCTAAATAGGCGTGTATTCATAAATGAGTAGGTTTTTAATCACAGTGAACTCAAAACTGGTAATACTGTCCACTGCTGAGTGGACAGTATGTTTTTAAACTGTAACATTTACAATTTTAACATTTATCCTACATCAAACTATTATTTCAAAAAAAAATAAGGAAAGATGTTTTCTACAATATGGGCCCTAAAAGTACAAGAGGAGTTAGGAAGAATATAACCACACTGTGCTGGACTCCCACCCTCCAGGACCAGAGATAGGTATCTCTGTCCCGGATCACCAACTCAGCAAACAGCAAAAACAGCAACACTGATGGAGGCAGCTTGCTTTACGGTGAAATAAACACATTTCACACACAGACAGACAACAGTGTCTCAGTTAATCTGATAAGAGTTACAGGGAAAGCATTATCTTTCATCATTTGTAGTCCACTGCCAGTGACAAGCCGAAAGAACTTGTGTGACTGAATAAAGCAAAAAGCAAAGAGAGGCCATGACCTGAAGACGATTATTAAATGAAGGCAATGACTGCTAAGCAAACCTTCAGATCACCATCAAATTTACTCCATGAACACATTAATACAGAATGAACTGATGCTGTCATGTCTGTGTATATAGAGTATTTTACAATGGCTTTGATCGTGGATCAGATTTTAGAATGGAAGCTATTAATTTTATAAGAAATATCACGTCACAAGCACCAAATCACAAACAGCTATAGTAGCTGACAGTATACTTAAAACAAAAAAGCCATTTCAAAGCAAAATTATGCCTTTTTGGCCAAAACAACGCAGTGGTTTGAATTTTGTACTGTTTGTTACAATGAAAAAAAAATGCTTGAAGGTTGCTTTAAATTTGCTTGTATACACTGTGCACACTGGCTCCACATAAATGAATCAACATAATTCCTATGTATAAGTACTTCATTGACTTGATGTAACACACATTTCATTTGTGTAAGACTAATGTACACACCATTTTTTCTTCAGCATAGGGGTATATTAGGTATATTTACAACAGCATTTTGAGTGGAAGTTCAGTTTCATTTAGGTCTTTTATCACTGCTACTGCACTGCCAGTTTAACACCAGATTTAGAACATTTGCTGAATAATACCGGTACAACAAAAAAAGGACCAAACTAGCATTTAACCCCCATTTTACAATAGCTGTGGTCAGCAATTTTGGAGGTCCCTTAGTTAAACTAAATTTTTTTTCTTCAATAAGATTCATGGAATGTATTTTTATGACAGAAATGTTTTCACTGTTTTTTTTTTTTTGGCAGTGAAATGAAGAAAGCTACAAATGTGCTGTTCACTTTTAAACTGTTTTCACAGCAGGGAGTTTTCACTCCTCCCCCTTTTTGCCCCTCTTTGCACACTAGCAGCTCAACACAGAGTCACAACATTTCACACACAGAGATAACAGCATCCAAGTTAACCTGATAACAGAGTTAGAGGGCAACAGTATTTTAACTTCTTATATTAATTTAAAATATCAGAGTCCATTTCCAGCCACTCAGAACAGCCACTAGGGGGCCTGCAGAAAGAGGTTAATAAACTGCTGAGGGATAACTATTTATAACTCTTACAGTTCCTTGGTGCGGCGAGAGCGGCGAATGGGCGAGTGTGGCTCCAAATGGAGAAGCTCAGGAGGAAGTTCCTTCCCCTGAGACAGCAACCAGGCCCTCTCCTCACGCTGCTTCCTCCTCCGTGCACGCTCTGGAAGCACGCACACACAACCACAACCATGCAAAACAGGCATAACAAAACATGCAAACACAAATAATCATACATGCACACACCCACGCAAACACACACAAAAATAAAAACAGTGACTTTTTTGTGCTTCCCAGCACCTGTTACTCACTTGGTCAACTCTTTACAAGTGACGAAGAAGTAGGCTAACAAGAGAGAAGTCAAATAAGTAATTCATTGCGGAGCTTTAGAAGGCAAACTTGATCAAAAGGCACGGCTGAGATAAAGGGCCAAGTTGCTTTCTATGCTGATATGAAAGGCTGCAGCAGGCAAACCCTGCTGTGAGGATTAAAGAGGTTTGGGGAAGGAGCCATTGAAGGGCTCCACGGGCCCTGATCTTCATCCATTATACATTAACGAGCAGAGCGGCCTGTCGGCACAGCCACGATCAGGAGTTAATTAACCCTCTGACAGACGATATCAGAGTGGAGCGGAGGGAGTTACGGGTGATGAACGAGGTTTGGGAGTTGCCTCCGTAACTCTGCTCTTTGTGCAATTAAACCAGCCTTGGGTTAAAAGCAGGCACTTCAGTGGCACTGTGTAGATACAAGAGTGCGCGTGTGTGTGTTTGATCTGTCTTCTGAAAGCTCTCTGAGCCCAGGGGCTGCGTGCGGAGGTAGACAGTGGACTGGATGGAAAAAGTTGAGTGTGAACAATACGCACCTTCAGCTGCTTTGGCCCTCTCCAACTCCTCTCTCTCACGCTCCTCTTGGAGGAGTCGCTCCTCTTCTCGGCGCTGCTCCGCGAGAAGAATCTGTCTTTCCAAATCTTCTTCTCTCTGTTTAATGTCCGCTTCAGAGACGTCGTTCAGCTTCTATTTAACACACAAAATGATTTGCAGGACTTACACTTTACATATAAAATGCACAGGAAGCTTTTATATGAGACTAATGTAGCTAACAATTAATTAAAGCTTTTATTTTACTAACTAGCAATAAGCAAACTGTATGTCTAAATCATCCTACACTTGCCTCAAAACACATTTTGGTGCTATTTCAATGAGACTTGATTATGTGGTTATGGGTCAAACACATTTTAGACATATTTCGGCAAAGTGAATAAAAATACCTTGACGGAAACGAGAAATATTGAATAAAATTGGCAAAATTTGCATTAAAGTTTATATTCTTGCTTGAGGTGGATACATTTTTGGAATTGCATTTGTGCATTTGCCAAACAAATGACTTCATATTTCTCAGAAGTGCTTTAATGGACGTGAAGTGGAGAGTTTTATTCTCATATACAGAACTGACAAACGCAGCCTAATTTGCTCATTTTTTGTGACATTTCAGCTATACTCATGAATTAAACTCAACAGCTGCATGGAAACACATCTATTTGATGGCATACATTTATTGTTAAGAACGGACAAACAACATTAAGGCTTCATGATGGCTGGAACTGTTTTTCACTTACGCAACAAACTTGTCAGTTTTACAATGACTTGGCTGAGCTAAAGAGGAAACTGTGTAAAATCAGTTCTTTGCCAAACTACTCCTTTAAAACAGAATCTACAAAACACTTACATCATCTTCCTTGCTGACAAATTTCTCTGAAAGCCGCTGCGAGTTTCGCACCGGAGGGTTCAACAGCTTCTGCTGCTGCTCTCGTTCCTGAGGAGGGATATTCCAGTTAGTTTTTCCTTTTCTCTTATACACACGCGCACGCACACACACACACACACACACACACACACACACACACACACACACACACAGAGACACTCTCTGGGGAGCACTTTGGGAGGGTAGCTGTGTTAGAGCATGACTTGACCCCAGTAGCCCCTCTATCTGACTTGCTTCTTCCCCCACAGGGATTTAATATAGACTACAAAATAAATCAATTTCCGAAACGAAACCTTCTACACATCACTTAAACAATGATGTCACTGCTCTTCTAAATTAATCTTAGGCTTGTAGGAAAGTGGAAAATGAACAAATCATCACAGACAGATTAGCACAGTATCTGCAGAAGGAAGATTCTGTCTTGTTTTATTTGTTCATAGCACTCATCGTTCTACTGAACAAGTTCAAACTGAAGTCACAGTAAAAAACTATTTAAATATACAATGAAGGATTCAGACCTTAGATATTTACAAGGATTATGTTGTGACCTATTAAAACCCAAGACATCAATTGAGATAGTAGACAGCTACATATATATAAAATACATAAAAATGTATACAAAATCATTTACAGGATATTTTCTATCAGGGACCCTTGCCTCTAAATTTCAAGTTGTTAAATAATACTTTTCTTTTATTTCTTTTTAAGTAAAGTTAAAAGTTTTAAATTTCTCATGCGTTTAATTTTTACTACGAGTACACCTGTTCAAAGCTGGGTTGGCTAGTCATGTCCTGGCTAGCGTTTTTGAGTTCCGCTCAAAATTAGCTAATATTGTCACTACCAAAGTGTCTATAGTGTTATTTTATATAATTACGGTATAGGGTCACTCAAAGCAAGTGCAAAGTCTAGAATGATCCATATAAAGTGCACAATGGCAAAATAGATACATTTTTGGTCTTTTTCTGTTATATTTTTATATAATAAACAACCTATATAGACCATTATAACATTTACAGTAGCTGTCGTAACACTTGCTGAGATAAAATGACATCAAAATAACAGGCAACTTTCATGACAACTTTTTTCTGTTTATGCAGGTTTATGTCAGATGTTACGAAAGGCTTATGCAGTCTCATCCTGCCCTTCAGGAAAGTGTTACTCGTTTTTTATGTTTTTTTTGTTTTACTGTTGATGGCTTGAGCAGCCATGTTGCTACATCATATGGTGAACTCTATGGGATTGAGCCTGCTCCGGTTGAGGAGCATTGTCTCAGGTTTTTCCCGTAGCCGGAGGTCATGAAACTCCAAGTTAAGCGCTTTAGTGAAATGCAGTGTGTTAAGTCTCAGCTTCAGACACTCCACCCACAGATGTGCATAGATCATCTGATGCATCCTGGAGGCCACAATTATCTGAATTTAGATTGTCACACTGTCATTAGCTATTTGAGTTTCTGCACGCAGGTTTTTATCAGCACAATAAGCCTTTTGAAAGAAATACAATTAACGAATTTTGTGAAATTCACATTCCATCTTTTTAAAAATCTTTGAAATTCTTTGGCGTCCCCAACACGGCTTCTCCTGGTGGTGCTGAACAGCCACAGCAAGATCATGGTGTGGGAAAGGAGCCACGACTGCTGTGGTCATCTCTGCATGAGCGCTAGGTTTATTACCACATAGCACTTAATCCGGCAGTGCGAGATGGACCGCTACTGGTGCCGCCACTTAAAAGGTCACCAAACCTGCCATGCCTCAGGCAGTCAATCATCAGGCTCCGCTTCGGCCTGCCTCAAGGTGAGAGCCTGCCTCGTGTCACAGGCTGGATGGATTAGCTCTGACAGGGCTGTCTGTCCGTCAAGTGTCAGGGTCATAAAAGACAGACCACTTGGTCCATCTGAGGTAATTGCCCATCTTAACACCCTATACATAATTCACACCCACAGGTAAAGGCAACATTTAGGAGGGACATATGATGGCCACCAAAAAGATAAACATCTTCACAGCAAGGGTGTTTGCTAAATGGGGTTAAACAATGCAAGTGAATTTAACTTTACACAATTTTCAGTCACTCCAGATATAGTCCATATATAAGCCAGGGCATCTTTGCTCCTCAAATTTTGTTTGTTTATTTTAGTGCTGGAGCCATGAGGCTAACATTGCTTTCACAAGAAAATAGTCACCCAAATCTTTTCCATACATACACAACGTCTCTCAAGCTGCTCAAACCGCATCCAGGTCTTCAGTAAGATTGTGCAGACGTGTCGATGTGATAAGTATGACTTACTGGGAACTATTAAAACAAACAAAGCTTCACTGGGCAGCCACTTCAGACAACAGATGATGTGCCAAATTCTGACACTCCTCTGCAGGCTCATCACCGAGAGGAAGCAGACAAAAAGAAGTAAATTAGCAAATCAAACAAAGAAGCTGCTGGTGTCCACATCACTGTCACCGAATGTGTTTAGATTATCTGTATTGTGAGAAGCAGAAAACGCAAACCAACTACTAACACTGAACTTTGAAGGTGTGGAAAAATATCCCTGCAGATTTCTTTGAAAAAACTAACAGCGAGTATTCCAAAAAGAATGGAAGCTGCAAGAAAGGCGAAGTGTGAACACACTAAAAACTGAATAATTTGACTTTAATGAAAACCTGGATGTGATTTGAGCAGGTTGAGAGTTTTGGGGACGTACTTAACGAAAACAATTAGGTGACTCTTGACTTCTTGTGTAGCAACATCAGCGTCTTCCCTCCAGTGCTAAGCTAAAAAAGCTAAATTTGGACACCAATCATGTCTTGGCTGATTGACTAAGTGGAAAATTGTGTAAATTTGATTTTTCAGCAAAACATTCCTTTAACTTGAGTAAGTTTAGAATTGATTTTTGATCTGACTTTGTTGGCTACTATTTAGTTTAGGCTCAGAGTTTTCAGAATTCCAACACCCATTTTTGCTGTAGGTCGTGGGTGTGTAGCACACTTGGCCTGAACAGCACTGAGCAGCTCCTCTCTGAGCAGCTGCTCTGTCCCAACCTTGCAGATGAGACAAATAGACCCTCAGGCCCTTCCTACAGAAAGCAAGCTGGGCGAGTGTAGGCCAGTTACACACTGCACATGCAAATGACTAAAAGAGCAGCCAAAAAGGTATTAGGTTACTTTGTGGTTAAAGTGCTTCTTTCCAGCAAATTAATTATCTAAACCCACATACTAATGACCTTGAGTCATATTTAAAGCTGCATATTTTATTTTACAATGGCTTGTATGTTTAAATTTTAGCCTACGTTCTATTTTTTTACACATTATGTTTACACATTATTTACTGATGGGGAACCTGCTTAATAAAATTATAATTTAAAATTCCAGGCTTATTACATACTTATTATTCAGTAACTACAGGGACTAATAAATAGTAGTAATAAAACTTTGGGCCCGCTAGTGGGCCCGGGCAATTTAAATGGTTAAACAGAAGCACCAGGATCCTCTTTTATCCCATATAAATATGTTAAGTAATGATGAATGAAGTCTGACCCTGTGCTCAACCATACTGCTGATCTCAGGCAAGAAGTTCTGCGTGATGATGCGGTACAGGTGACGGTCCTGAGGAGAACTTTTGTCCTTAATACTGTCCGCCAGCCTGGTCCACTGCTCCTCGGTGTCACATATCAGAGACCAAGCTCCACGCTCTCGCTCTGTTAGAACACAATCATAAACATACATCACAGTGAGGTTAACTTGGCCTTTACAACACTACGTTCTTTTAAAACTCTGTGACACTTTAAAATAGGACATAAGAAGGTATTTGATAGGCACCCAAAATCATAGGCAAAGAGATTAGAGATATCAGACTAGTGCTGAATTTGCAGGTGATACATCTTAAAGTACATCATAACCAAAATATTGGTTAATAATGATTACTGTTTTAAAAGGTTATTCAGTATCAGCCAACTTATTATTTTTATTTTGGCTGATATGTGCTGAATTTGCACTGTATTTCAGTGCTGCTGCTACACCTTTACTAAATTGCTGTAGCAAATTATGCACTACTCATTCCATTAAACAGCCAGACTCCTCTTAATATCAGTACAGTACCTTACTTATGTTATTTAAACAGACAGATTTTTTTTATTTGAACATTTAAAATGCCAATTTAGCCCACTGAAGGGCAAATAATATAGGCGTCAACCCATATGATTTACCTGTACAAAATATGGTTTAGTTAGCATTTCTGAGATATATGGTCATATAAAGAAATAGAAATCTAGTCTAATACATTAAAGTCTGTTGTCAGATTTGTTGTGGGTAGTGAAGTATGAACATAAGTATACTGATTAATGTGAAATGATTTACACAAACAAAATAAATATCACCTTGTGAGAAACGAGCCAAAACGTCAGGAGCGTCACTTGCCACAATTTAAAAAGCGTTGTGCTGTAATAATCAGATCGGTGTTTAATCTAACTGCAGAAGAAATATTAAAGCTGCTGCATCCAGAGTGTAACTTAACTTAAAATGCATCAGCAAAGATACAGTTGCCCCTCAGTCTTGCACTACAGCACTAGTTTTTTTGTTCACAGGACGCAGCCTGACTCTGCACTCACCTTCTCACTCTCTGCCTTTGTGTTTGTGTATTTAACTGTTCAGCTGCTTAACATTAACTCTCAAATGAAGTGAAAATAAATGTCTGATGCTGAATAAGATAAATTATTTTTCCAGAGGATTACACCACAGTATGGCCTGCACATGAAAGGCCAGTAAAGGCCACCCTACAGGAAAGTTACTCACCTTTAACCAACTGTGGCTCTTCAACACCATTTTCCTCCACTGTATCCATTTCACTGGAAAACACCAAGATTAGGAATATTACTTAATATACTTAATTCCATACAATATAATCTTTTACTTTTCTTCAAGTCAGGAAAAGTAAGCTTTGAAACTAAAATGTTATCGTACTAACAGCACCAAGCATGATGTTGTTCCACCCATTCATTTTCAGCATTTCACAATACATTACCAAAACGATCAAAAGAATGCTCTCTCAAAATAGACATAGTTAGATAAACTGAATGATCCTGCATTAACTCCAACTTTACTGAAGAAAAAAAAACGCCTGCAATAAATTATAAAGTCACAGCTTAACATTAAAATAATGATGAGATCAAAATGCATTTAATCTGCATAGCACTATTAAAGCCTTACGTTGGTGACATCTCTCCAGGCTTCTTCTTCGGTGGCCGCCCCCTCCTTTTCTTCTCAGGTATTTTTGATTCAGGGGTTTCACTGAAATGGAACAAGTCATGAAAGAACAGCAGCATTTTGATATTTTGCACTACTAGATCTTAATAAAACATTTACGTGAGCATGACATCAAATTTGACAAATTAAAGCCGCATCCACCCATCCATACCAGTGCTCAGAGGACTTCCGTTTGACAGGCTCCTCCTTGTACATCCGAGTACCGTAGAAGTACCAATAAAGGGCACCAGTTCCATCTTGACCCAGAGGCTCGACACGTAAGCTGTCTGCATCCAGTCCCTGAGAAGAAGGTCAGTTCAGTCAGTCTTATAGGCTGGTGTCACTGTGACTAAACCTTTGTGCTTCACTACATTACTGGCTTGGTGGGAGTCGATCAGTGATGTAATACAGTGCTGAAAAGATAAAGGCCTACTTTTTCATTCACCCACCCAGAGACCGAGGCCAATTGTGCTCTCATGGACTCCCGGCCACGAATGGCTGTAGCATCACCAGGGATCGAACTCAAGATCACCTCATGATAGGGCCAACGCTTTGACGGTTGCACCAATCAGGAGCAGAAAACTGGTATATTTAATACGTTAACTTATTTTTTTGTGTAATTTGACCAGGGGATGTTCAAACTTCCCCAAAGCAATAGCAGCAGGGCAGATGGCAAAACAATCCATACGGATGTAACTCACCTCCAGCACTATGATTAAGAATTTGACATGATGTAGCCAACAATCACAATAGCTGGCATGTAACACTAACGCTAACTAGTCAATGAAACTCCAGTGAACAACTCTTCTTTATGAAGAACAATGAACTAAATAACATTTCTGGGGTAATATTAAAAAGGTGGCCTACTGTGGGGGACTTCAGGTGTAGATTTACATAATCACTTCAAAGAGAAAATAAGATTTTCTTCCTCTCAAAACAAAATGCACTACTCTCTTTCAACCCTGACGTAATCATATATTTTTAACAACTTTTCTCATGAAATGTAATTTAAATGCATCACTATCACCCAATGATACAAGAAACAACAAAGAATTTGATCAGAACAACAAATCCAGGGCAACAAATCCCAGGAACACAGTGATCCAGATAGAGTTTCAGAATTAATTGGATCAAACCATTCATTAAATGTGCTGTGATTATATTTTGCCCCATCATTTGATGTCACCCCAATAATGCAGTGGCCTCATAGTTCCTTGAGTTTACACTTTACTTGTTCCTGTGGCCACAGAAAGTCATATCATAGCACAAATGACAGTCTAGTTCATATGTTAAGGAGAACAAGTAGTTTACACTACTTATCACTGCGTAACACACCCTACACGTAATGCCATTAAGTGATATTCCTTTGTTTATATGTTGCCAGGTGCTTACCTAAGTGCACCTTAAACGTGCGCCCTCTTACCTTAAGCAGATCGAAGACGTCAGCAGCGTCCAGGCGGTAATCACAGAGCCTGTGGAGGAGCTCCACCTGCGTGCGGACTGGAAGGTCCTCAAAAGAGCTCTCTTTCAGAGGGTTGGGCTTTCCCTCCTCCAGCTCCCAGCGGTAGTTGATGATGTCCTCCAAGTAGCTGCGGAAAGCCTGAGGCCTGACAGAAGAAAGGACATGATTTTTGGGGGCTTTTAAACAAGCAGTTGTATCACACTCTGCTCAAAAAGCTGAATAATTTGAGCCAAATGTCAAACAGGAATTAACCTCTTTGTCTGAAGGTGATGTGGTTTCAGAGGAGTCCATTCAAACTGACCATTTGTATAAACAGAAACATTCTTTTGGACATTAGAAGTGAACAAAACAGCAAAACAAGAACAAAGTGCAAACATGTAGGTAGTTGAGAAAAAAAAATATATATATATATATATATATACATATATATATATATATATATATATATATATATATATATATATACACACACACACACACACACACACACACACACACACACACACACACACACACACCACACATTGATAAATCTGTCCGTAGATATAGTTATATTTTGATCAGCTGGGTAATTCAGAAATTATTGTCATTAAAAAGGGGGGAGTGTTTAATTCTAAGTCAACTATACTTAAATTCCAGTGAACATTTTTAGAAAATTATCAAATGACCCCAACAAGTAGGAAGGCCCAGAAGACTGGACAACTATTCAGCATTAATTGCTTTCTGACTTAATAAAGTACAAATGAACAGCAATATATGCACGAGGCCGAAGCTCCGAGAAGCAGACTACAGCCGTGTCTTTGTCTCTATTATGACATTAGTTTTGACTGGGCAAACAAACATTAGTTCTGGGTCACACCAATTGGATTAATCTGAAAGTGGGAAGAGCTCTAGTCCTGCTAGGATGCACAGAAACAAGAGGCCAGGCCAGGAGTTGAACCCTGCCGCAACACGCAGAAGAAAGAGAGGAGCAAAGAGGAAAAGAATGGGCTTATCTGGAGAAAGCAGAATGCACTCACTCACACACAGCTGCAGGCCCCCCACTAACCCATCACTCTTTCTCTCTCTGCCTGTCTCTCTCTCGCTCGCTCAGCCCCTCCCCTGCTCCGCTGGGGCATTCAGCGCGTGTGGATGAAAAGGGCAGCTCTCTGAAAGGCCAGGGCCCGGCAGCAGCCCCCAGGATGCCTGCGGCTGTCCAATCCAATAAAACCCATCGTCCTGTTAAAGGAACACTTACCCAAACACGCTAGCACTGCGAGCAATCTGTGATTACCAGGGGTTTTCAGTTAGCACGCTTCTTTGCCATAACGCTAATTTGCGCTTACTGGCATCTTCCAATGAGTAACTTGCAAATCAGTGTTTTCTGAATGAACACTGACTTTCATTTTGATTTAAAAACAGCAGGTGATGTTACTGGCCTTACTCCAGACTCCGCACAAAGCTTTTAGTGGTCTTTAAAGTTCACTGAGTGAGCAACTGTTGATGCCAAATTAGTCAAAAGTTTTTTGTTCCTGCAGTGTGGTCAAACGTTTTAATGAACAGCTTTGAGATGACTGTATACTTTTAATTGGGACGCTTGTCAACTGATAACCATGTTATAAACAACCTTGTAATGACCGGTCTACATAGGGGGGGGGGCGGCGGCAACCCAAATGTTAAGAAGAGCCATTTTGTCCTTTCAACAAAAATCAAACCACCTTGGGAGCCACAACGTTTTATGCTCATTTTACCATCTCGGCTGTAAATATGACTCAGTACGTGCTAATCTACTAGTATAGGCTAATAATATAAAGTAAAAATACAGACTTGCTTTGCTCTGCTTTAAGCTTTAGCTCAGCTATAGACGCTTTTCTCGCATCTCGGGCAGGAAACTTTTCCTCAAAAGTAGAAAAGTTTCTTGTAAAGTGTCTCTCAACATTCGACTTTTTACGAGGCTGAAGTTGCTTCTCATTCACCAGCTCCTTATTTGAATTGTCCGGTTTCACCTTAAACGGTGCCTGAGGTGCCAGAATGTAACTGCTGCACCATTTAAGGTGGAACGGGAGAATCTGAACAAGAAGCTGATGAATGAGAAACTGACTTCAACTTTGTGACTTTAGTGTTTGACAGTTTCTCCTTCCAGATTAAACGTATTTGGAAACCAGCTGGAGTGATTATAAATAGAAGCAAGTCCATTTGTCACCAAATCAATGTTTGTCTTAAATCTTTATCTTTACCCTTTCGTTAGCTACTAGCTAAATGAGACTGTTGTCCGCTGCTGTGGTGACCAGCAGTCTGCACACCAGTATACAGGGTTAAAGCGTGGATAAGCAGTTACATTTCAACTCCAGCATCGTGTTTGAACGATCAGCAGAGGTTTATTTTACAAAAAAGGAGGATTATTTTATGTTCACCTAAAAATCTAATTCTGCTGTGGAGCCGCAACATAGCTGTTAAAGAGCCACATGTTGCTGATCCCTGATCTAGACAGTCTGCAGCATCACATAATAACCATTAAACCCAAACCACAAACCCATAGTAAGTGACGTGGCTTGAAATTTATAGAGATTCTAAATCTCAAATCTAACATCTTTAAGACGAACAGAATGCTAAGCATCTGTTTTCACCTCAGCAAACATCAATGTAACTAGCCTGGTCACAGTGGGTTTTCAATCCATCTATCCACCTTTTCTCTGCTAATTTAGAAAAAAGTTGGTGAAAAAAAGTGTCGCAAAAAGTTTTTACACTTGGAAGTTGGTTTATACATGAAGCAGTAATGTGGAAAAAAGGTGATGGGAACAGATTTTTCAAATAAGTGTGGATGTAGAGAGAATCAAAGTCGTGTCTTTGGCACTATGTCCCATCACTTTGGTGGGTCATTATGAAGTAACATAGCAAGTTTAGCCCTCATTAAACAGGCCACTGTTGGCATCTCTGTTCCAGCATCACTGAACTGTTAGAGCTACAGCCATGTTCAGCTGACAGACGGGGGTCAAAACTGCTCTACCAAGAGATAATAGAGGGTCAGGTACCTCCACTGCATACACCATGCACAGTGAGCATGACAGTGAGCCATCATTAAAGCATGAAGAGGACAAACTAAGAAATTCTGAAATTCATGAAAATATTTAAAAGACTGTACTTTTCATTCAGATTGTTCTGCTAATAATATAATTTGTAATTAAACATTTTGAATTAAATTAGAAAAAAATATTCAAATCCGAAGCATTTTCACTAGTGGTCTCGGACTTTTGGTCCACACTGTATAAACGTTAAACATATTTGATGTTTTAAATTTACATGACTATAGAAAAATTTGACAATAAAAAAAAACAAAAAAACAAAAAACAAAAATGAACTGTCTAAAGCCCTATTTAAGATGGATTAATTTACTTGGGGTGGTGCTGTAATCTGAGCGATTATGGATAAGATCTGTGATTTTAATCCAGTACAAATCTGAAAACGTCCATAGATTTTACAAGTCTGATACTTACTAATACCTTCTATAATCCACAGAACCTCAAAGTTATAGGAGCCCCGTTCAAATCCACCTCATATTAACATAACAAAACCTGGTAACAGACAACAGTGTTTTTGAGTACCGGAAGACAAAGCTAAGCGCTCAAATGGGGCTTGATTTGGCAGTTTCTTTATCCTCAATTTAACCCAGGACTACCGTAATCCAGAACAATTTTGTAGAAGATCTCATTAAAAGAAGGAAAATTAAACATCTTAATAGTTCTCCTCGCAAGGCAATGCAATTTCAGTTCTATTGGGCGGCACTTGTTGAGTTGAAGGAGCCCACTTTACTAGCCTAATGGCATCCTATGGGGCATTAACTGGAAGTTAGCAACTGATGTTTGTTTGTTTGTATACTTTTTATCTTAACACTGATGTGAACGCCCAGGCTGTGTTTTAATCTGCACTATCTAGAGTAATTTGGAACACGGCAGATCCTGTATGTCAGTCAAATCTCTTACAAATTACATTACTGGAAACCTAATCCAGCTTGAACAAAGCTTTACTGTGAGTTTTCACTGTTAGTCATGTTAACATCTTTGTGCAAACCATTCCTTTAACTGCCTTCCTGAGTGTGCAAGTGGGCCCATTCTTACCTGCGGTACAGTCACAAGGATGACTAACGCTGTTGTTGCTGCTGAAGCACTCAAATGGAAGAGGCTCCCTCAAGGGCCCCAACCATTTATCACAGGTCTGACTCAGCCGCTAACGAATACACACCCATTCCCGAAAGTGGGGGCATGCCCCTGGACCTACTGCTGCCCCAGGCAAACCATCACAACCAGCGGTCAGAACATCCAGCGCAGCTTAAAAGTGCCGTGACTGAGTCATGAGTAGATGGTGGGTTAGGCCAACCTGCTGTGCAAGCTATGACACATTCTAGAGCAATGGCAAAAGTTGTGAAACAACCCAAGCGCTGTCAACCCCTATATCCTGAGATGTGCAAACAGGGAGTACAGATGGAGTTATCAGTTAGCGCAGTCAGGTGTGGTTCAAGAAAAACAACTTACGTGATGTCGTGTCGCTGGTAACATCCCTGGAGAAGACAGCAAACAAGTTCGGAGAGGAAGTCTCTGTCCTGTTTCAGCAGTGCTTGTTCCAGCTCCTAACACACAGAAAACAGCAGAGAGAGAAGAGGTCAGTCAGTGTTACAATTTACAAGCACCTGCTTTTACCAACTTATGAGAAAATATCAGATTTAACTGCCAAGGTCGACCTTTTTTATAGGAACAATACTTAACAGCTGTGCAGGCTTGACCAGAGCTACATGATCTCGGGTTTGCCTGGCTGTAACTGAGATTTTTCCATGTTCCAACTGGACACTGTTAACCTCTTGTAACAAAAGTCAATGGGATGTTAAAGCTAGAAGTACAGCCTACAGTGAGAGCATGAAGACTACTTGGCAAGTAGTCTGAAGTACTGAAATGAACGTTAGCTGTATGTTTTAGTGTGTGGGAAAGCAAACACTACTTCCACACAACTGCTAATCAACAACCCACTTTTACATGTGTCCTCTATAAAATCCTAAAAGTAGGTACAGCTCATTAACCACTGCCGGAGATGGGTTTGTGAGACTGTGCGCAGTGAACTATCATCCAATCAGGCCCCATAGCCAGTATCAGGAGGGGTATAAAGTATAAGAAACAAATAAAAAGTGTTCCATATAACTTTTTATTTATTTCTTATACTTTTAGTTGAGCAATCTGCATAAATATTACAATGTACATTGTGCAAATGGCTATTAAAGAATCTTTTCTTTTCAGAAAAGAGGCCCGAATACTGACTGAGAGGATCCACTTTATCAATATCTAAAGCTCCGTTCTCCAAGAGCTCATTTCAGCATGGCAGACAATGTGGTAACACCAGAGAAAAGCCTGCTTAAACAGGAAAAAAAAATGCTTGTGTTTCTCAGAAAGTTGCAAACTAGCCTTGCTTTTGCGTATGGTTTGGGTGTTCTTGCTATAGGTTTAATAAATTACAGTCTAAAGTCACTTAAAAAGCTCATGTTATGAAGTCAGCCTCTAGGCTACTATTATTGTAGCTTTACTTTGCTGTTATCATAGCCTTTGATTACTGTTATTAGACTGTAAATGACAAAAATAGGCTCAGTCTTCTTTGTTTTTAAGTTTGATGTAACCTTAACGTCAAAATCAGACCTTGTTTACGCTTCAGGAGAGAAGGCATTCTGTGCTGCCTCATGCTGTTAATGCTCTGAAGCCAGAAAACAATATATTAAAATGAACAGAACTATGCTCCACACGTTAAAAGAAAATACACCTAAGAAAACATGTTAAATGTAAAAGATGACAAGACAAACATGACTAGTGCATCTTAAAATGCACTGTCTGTGGCTTTAAGGACAAACCAAGTTAATCACGACAGATGAATCAGTAATTCACAACACCTGTCAATCAGCTGAAGTCTACTGTGAAAACAACTTTATTTGGCATGATAGCAACTTTCAAACAATTTATCAAATATAAATCCAGAAACGTTACAGGCATTCCTACTAACTTTACTCACGCTTGTCCAAGCCAAGGAGAAAAGCCTACTCAGCCTAAAGACTTGGGATGAAATGCTTCTCAGCAAGGCAGAGCAGCTGAGGTTCAAGTTCAACCATGACCTCTCTCCATCCAGGCATTGTGCACTGGCCATTCAGGGTTTATGAAGCGGCAGTAAGGAGGAGAGTAAACTCCAGCGTGTTGAAAGAGCATGGAGCGGAGACTCTAGGCACCGGCAGGAGCCCCCAGGGCCATGGCCGGCAAACCACAGCCTTACTCTGCTGAAACAGCATGCACTGCCCTGAGAGTGAGAGCAGGGTGAGTGGAGCTGAGAGGGCAGATATGCAGATGTGAAGCTAACCTGCCACTTGTCCATTTCATTTAGCTACCCCTTCTCAAGAAGCACAGCAACCGCTAAGAGCTTTAGCAGGATTTTTTTTCCTCTCCGTTTTTCCAAGGACTCAGCTAGCTGCTCGGCCCCTCTGGCAACGGAGAGTACTTTTCAACTCCGGTCGAAAACATCCTCCCCCTTTCCCCCTTCAGTGCAGACTGACACTCCTAAATTAACTCAAGGGCGAGAGAAGGCAGCCCTGGATTCATTGTGAGATTCACTCGAGCTGCAGATTGCTGCCTCTCTCCTGAGAGACGGTGGAAAAGAGCAGGGGTCACCGGAGATCACCTCGCACACCTCCTGGCTGAGGAGAGGTGCGGAAACCAGGAGCCCAGCGTCAGCAGGATGGAGGGGGGGAAAACATAGAAAGCCTGGACAACAGGATGAGACACATGTTAGTGCTTAGGGGGAAAAAAAATACCCCACTCACTCCTCATTTTGAGCCCCGACAAAGAAAACGTTGACCATCCAACGGTTAAAACGCTGAGTCCATTACACTTCCTGGGAGGATTTTAATGAGTAATTTAAAAGCTATTGATCAGCCCCCTCAGGTGCTCAGCAGAAGGTAGAATGGAACTGTCAAAGCCTTTATTGAGCGAGGCAGTTGGTGTGGAATTAAGTTTGGGAGATGACAGGACTGGCTGTGAATTAGGTTGGCTGTAGCAGAGAGGGTCATGGTCCTGGACTAAATCAGGGGCACTTTCTATTAAATCAGATTATAAACATTTTATCCTATGTCATAAGATATTACGTTATTTCTTCTCAGAACAGTGTTGGGTCTAATTCCAGAAAGCAGTTCACTCTAGGGCTGCATAATATGGCCAAAATACCTTCCATCTTGATTATTCTACTGCATACTGTGATTCCAATTTGACTTGAAATGTATTTAATACAGAAAAACAAACTTTCCTCACTTTTTGAAAAGAATAGTCTGATGAAATACAAATGCACAAACGTAGAATGTACTGTTCATACTGTTTATAAATAAAAATGAACGTACTGTTCATTCTCCAGCTCAAACAGTCCATGTACGGAGACTGATCTGCAAAAACAGCTTGTTTTGAATTCATTGTGTCGAGACGTCACCAAAACCAATAATTTACATATATCCGACTATTCAGTCCGAAACAGTTTAGCTCTGCCTATTCACACTGAAGTTCTAAGGAGTGTTTCAGCCCAGACTGCTTTGTGAATGAGGCAAGCCAATCAGAACAAAGGTCATTTACATACCGCTGTTGTCGGAAGAAAACCTTGTATCTCCAGAGTGGTAACTTTACAGGAGAAGGAAAAAACCCACTTTACTTTTAATGTAAGTCAATGGAACCAGACTTCTTTCCAAGTCATTTTGGGCCGTTTCTTTTAGTCCATTCTTCATGAAATTTACACACAATATAAAGGACAACAGGCATTGTGTCAAAAACTGAAAAATGACAAAAAAGGAGGTTTTCTTCCAACAGCAGTGATATAGTGAGTCTTAAAAGGCACAGTAACAAACAGCCTGTTTAATTCAGCCTGTTTAATTATGATGGTAAGTAACAATGAATTACAACTGATTTTGATGCATATATCCATACAAATGTTGTAAGATGATCTCAAGAGAAAAATTATAAATATAATTGGTACAATGAACGATATGGATACTCAAATACTTTAGAAAAACAACGCAAAGTTGTTAAAGATTTGTCTGCATTATTTTAATTAAAGTTATTTACATTTTGATCACATCTCATTTCATCCCACTGAAACATCTGTAATTGGTGGATTTACACAGTAAAACATGTTACTGGTTAGAGGCTTATATGAACACTGCAGCATTCTGTGATATTGCGTATATTACAACAGTGACTGAGATATTTTGTGCAGCCCTATATCATTTAATACATCTCAAAGTGAGCCAAGTAAGCTAATAAGCTAATATTTAAGATCGCAAAATCAACGTGTTTGTTTCCTAGAGCAAATTTAATTCACCTCAAAGGGAATTTATACTATAAAGTGATCCTGAATAGAACAGAAACTCAAATTACGGGCTACACTGGAGAACGTTTGGTCTGATGGGGTTGTCCTGCCCAGGTCTAGAGTGATGGGCCGCTCTGCCCTTTCTGTGAGTCTCCTCAGATCCTGTGTCACGCTCACACAACTTCCTGGTCCCTTGACAGCCAGTGGGCTGGAGAGCGCCCATCTATCAGTGCAGGCTGCACTTTGATCACACTTCAAACCTGAGTCCGGCTGTGGAGGATTAGCACCGCTGCACTCCACCTTTGAAGTGCCATTCAGTGGCTCAGATGGCAAAGGAGAGGAATTAATGTAGTGTACATGCCCTTTTCTTCCACACAGCCCAGCTCTCCTGTGACACACTGCTGGAAATTTAAACTAGCCGATCCAGCACTCCACCTTGATAGTTGCATACAACCGGCAACAGAGTACTGTACCGTAGGGCTGCTCGATTATGGCAAAAATCATAATCATGATTATTTTGGTCAATATTGAGATCGCGATTATTTAACACAATTACAATGGGAACATCACGTATTTAATGCACTTAAAAAAAACTTGTCCTTTTAACAATGAAATTATAAATATAAATTTCAACTGAAAAACAAAAAGATAACTATATAAAATATATAAATAAAATATATAAATATATCTACCTTTAAATTAACATTAAAGTCAATTATGTTGTAGTGCATGTTTACAGCCTACTGAAAACTACTGAAAACATACACTACATGGACAAATGTATTAGGACACCTACAAATCACACCTACGGGAGCTTTTCTGACATCCCATTCCAAATCCATAGGCATTAATGGAGTTGGTCCCCCTTTGCAGCTATATCAGCTTCCCCTCTTCTGGGAAGCTTTCTACAAGATTTTGGAGTGTGTATGAATGTTTGTCCATTCATCCAGAAGCGCATTTGTGAAGTCAGAAGTCAGATGTTGGACGAGACAGTCTGGCTCACAATCTCCGTTCTAGTTCATCCCAAAGGTGTTTGATGGAGTTAAGGTCAGGGCTCTGTGCAGGCCAGTCAAGTTCTTCCGTTCACCAAACTCACCCAGCCATGTCTTTATGGACCTTGCTTTGTGCACTGGGGCTCAGTCATGCTGGAACAGAAAAGGGCTTTTCCCAAACTGTTCCCACAAAGTTGGAAGCACAGAATTGTCCAAAATGTCTTGGTCTGCTGAAGCATTAAGATTACTCTTCACTGGAACTAAG